CGTTCGGTCTGTACATCACCACACTGAAGGAGTCCACCAAGACATTCGACGAAGCCACCGAGGCCGTGAAGATCTTCCATCGGGCTATTGCGGAGGGTGTTGAGCCTACGTCCTTCCTGTACAACGCCCTGATCGGCAAGCTCGGAAAGGCGCGTCGTATCGATGACTGCCTGTCCTACTTTGCAGAGATGCGCGCGAATGGTGTGCGCCCGACGAGTGTGACTTATGGCACGATTGTCAACGCTCTGTGCCGGGTCAGCGACGAGCGCTTCGCCGAAGAGATGTTTGACGAGATGGAGTCGATGCCCAACTACAAACCGCGTCCTGCCCCCTACAATTCCATGATCCAGTACTTCCTGAACACGAAGCGTGATCGTAGCAAGGTGCTGGCCTACTACGAGCGCATGCAGTCCCGGAAAATTGAGCCGACCATGCACACCTACAAGCTGCTCATCGATGCCTACGCGTCCCTGGAGCCCGTGGACATGGATGCAGCGAATAAAGTTCTTGACACGATCAGGGCGACGGGCCAGCGTCCCGAAGCGGTTCACTACGCTTCGCTGATTCATGCCAAGGGATGTGTGCTGCATGACATGGCGGGGGCTCGCGAGGTCTTTGATTCAGTGATTGCTAATCCCGAAGTGCAGCCCCAGCCGTGCCTGTATCAAGCGCTCTTCGAGGCCATGGTGGCCAACCACCAGGTTGCGGCTACAGATGAGCTCATCAAGGACATGGAGAGCCGTGGCGTGGAAATGACTCCGTACATTGCAAACACACTCATCCACGGCTGGGCCGCGGAGGGTAATATCGACAACGCTCGTGCTATCTATGACAGCGTGGGTATGGAGAAGCGTGAGCCCAGCACATATGAAGCGATGACCCGGGCCTTCCTGGCTGTCGAGGACCGTCCGAGCGCGGCCAAGGTGGTTGGGGAGATGCTTTCCCGCGGATATCCGACTGCGGTAGCCAACAAAATTGTTGAACTTGTTGGCGGTGGCGCTCCGGCGATGGTGGCCGCGTAACTCGTTCACAAAAAGGATTAATGTCTTCTTGACGGCGGTTTCTTCTGTTGGGATTTCATCTTGATACATATATCCTTAATGATCTACGTGTGAGGTGGGGGCTGGATCCTCACTCGACTATTTCCAGCTCGATGACCTCTGCGTAGGCATCAGAGGGGGAAAGCACTGACCATATGTTCTTTCCTTATTCTTTTAATGGCTTTTCTTTGTCAGCTCATGAGACGAGGCATTTGGACGATGTTCTGAATAATGTATCATATGCACGAGGCACAAAAAAGCGGGATATGGCGTTGGTGAGCATGTTGCATGCATTTTTCTCACAATGAGCAAGCTGAGAAGTCAGGTGGCATATGTGTGGCATATTCCCTTTGTTGTCTTTTTTTTTAAGAATAGACACATCTCTACTCTTCTGGTGTCTTAAAGATGAAAAATTATTTTATTATTTCAGTCTTCTTTCGCTCAATCTAGCCTCTAGCGGTCGATTTGTGGGAGATTTGTAGAGAAGTAGAGCATTACGCAAGGCCATATATGGACTCCGTACTGCATGTACACAGAGAGAGTGAGGACCTAGCTACCTAAGTAACTACTCCGTACTAGGTAGGTAGATAGACCTCATCCTCGATCGAACGACGTCTTTGAAGTGGACTACTAGGTTGACATCTATTCTTCTTCTTTTCTCTCTTCCCCTATCTTTTTCCTCCTCTCTTTTTTTTAAAAAAAAAATAAGTCGAGCGAAAGTAAAGTAGGAAAAAACAGTGTGAAGTTTTGAATACAAATAGAAAATACAAATAGAAAATAGAAATAGAAATAGAAATAGATAATAAGATCTCAATAAGAATTCTGCACTGCACTGTATAGTACTGTACTGTACATGTACATACAAACAAAAGAAATTCTCTCTCTTCTCTCTCGATTCGATTCGATCGATGACCATGTCGGATAGATATATTATATCTAAAGGGAAGAAGAAAAGGTGGATTTGGTTGCCGATTCTCTTCTTTCTTCCCCTTTTTCTTTTGTAATGGCAGTTTGTTTGCTTGATTCACTTGTTCATTTCATAGTAGCTCAGTAGACAAAAAGAAATGAAAATGATGATACATGTCACTCGCTCTATACTATAAAAAAAAGAAAAAGGAAAAAACCTGTCTTGGCCGCCTGAACTATTGAAACATGGTTGGTTGGTTGGAGTATTCTTCTGTTTTCTTTTTCCTTTTACAAATGCGATGCCAGCTGGACTAGTTGATAATTTTTTTCTTTCCCTTTTCCCTACTAGAATAGAAGTTCCTTGCGGGGGAAAAAAAAAGGTCTGTTTTTCTTGACTCGTCTATCCAATAACCAGGGTGTCTTCCGAAGGGAAGCTGTACTGGGGAACTTCCAGGTTCAGGGGAGCAGGGCCTTTCCGGACACGGCCGGAGATGTCGTAGTGAGAGCCGTGGCAGGGGCAGAACCAGCCACCAAAGTCACCAGCCTCGCCAATGGGCACACAACCAAGGTGAGTGCAGACGCCTACAAAAGCGAAAGGTCAGGATTGAGCATCCCAATCAATACGTAAGGTGGAACAACATACCAAGCATGACCAGCCATTCCGGCTTCTGCACACGGTCCGAGTCAGGCTGGGGATCCCGCAGCGACTGCCAGTCGACTTCGTTGGCCTCCTTGATCTCATCTGGGGTACGGTGACGGATAAAGACGGGCTTGCCACGCCATTTGATGATCACCTGTCCGGAAAAACTCTGTCAGACCTCATCCAACGGGGTTTTCAATATAACAATGGAAGACCCGGAACGTACGTTCTTGCCCTCTGGGATCGACGAAAGAGCGACTTCGACCTTGGCCTGGGCCAGGACATCTGCAGAGGCGGACATGTTGACGAGGAAGTCTGTCGACATGACATAAATCAGCATCCCGAACGGTCTCTTTTTCACCACAATTCCAAGGACCCAATTGCAAGCCATCTCCTCCCTGACATGGCCGAAATTCTTTGTCAATGGAAAAATACCAACACAAACATCACATACCCTGCACGGTAGCCTTCGCACCCACAGCAGACACCAGACCCATGCTTCCGGCGACGAAGTACGAGAACACCTTGCTCGTGGTCGCGGAGCTCTTGGCGGCGTACTTGCTGAAGCTGGGGATCTTCAGCGTCGAGTTGGCATCCTTGGTCTTGAAGGGGCTCTCAAAGGACGACTTGGGGGCGGCATCAGCGACTCCTCGCTGCTGGCCAGCTGCAATGGCGGCGCGGGCGGCAGTGGTGGGCAGCTGCTGGCGGGCGCAGGCGCGCAGCAGGGCCGTCGAGGCGGTGGCGAGTTGAGACATGGCCGGCGAGCGCACAGGAGGAAGCAATTGACGACAATTGCGCGTGGTAAAGGGGCGGAGGCGGGAGGAGAGGGGAGGTGTCGAGACAAGACGCTGTTCGGGAGCAGGGAGGATTTTGGAGATGAGGTTGGCGGTTCCGACGGAGTTGGAGCGCCGAAAAGCAGCCGGAATCCAATCACGCCGCCCGTGATTGGCCCGCGTGGCCAGACCCTCTAGCAACACCTCGACAGTGAGAACAGTCTATTATTATTGATCAATGAACTTTCTGCACAACAATGAGCGGAATGCCCTGTTAGATTCTTTTTTTTTCTAAGCCAGCAGGATTATCGCTTGTCTATTCAAAGATGGTCGCTCATTAATCATACAGTCTTGCATCGCCCGCGCCCCAAGAACTTCAATAATTCCCCTCAATCCTGGCTATAGACCTGAGGATTCCCAATGCAATGCAAAAGAACCCAAATTAACCCCGAAAATTATGACCCGCAAACTCCGTAATTGTTGTGATAATAAATTCTAAGAACCCGTATCCCCAACTCAACCCGTCATCTCGACGTCTTCAGTCTGAAAAGGGGCATTGTCGTCTGTCCGATCCACCATGAGGGACAGTGTCGGCATGGAACCCGTAGGGCCATTGGCATCATTACGGCCACCATCATTGTTCGTCTGATTCTGCAGGATCGACGGGCCAGCAGGGGACCGGTTGATCCCGTTCTCTGTCACGGCGCTGCTGCCATTCAACGTCCGCTGGCCTTTCTCCATTGCCGCCGCCTCTTGGGCGGCTTCCCGAGCTCTCTTCTCCTTGAATTGTCGATATGTAGTCGTCTTGGGTATCACGTCAGAGAGAAATTCGAGGTTGTCGATTCGCGAAACCGCGGTAGCTAGCATGATTTTATTGCCAAGTCAGCATCGACACGAAATTCCAACGCTCTGTGATGGCGAAAAAAAGCGCGTGTGCTCCATACCGAGATCTTTGTATTGGATAGTCTTTCGGGGTTTTCGTTCTGATTTGACTACATTGTACCCCTGTTCGGCCAAATATTGGATGAACATTTCCTATTATTACATCGACAGGTGAGTTTGTGTTGCACGTAGAAGGCACGAAGAGAAGGGCAACGTGAATGTGATCGGGAGAGAAACGAACCGTAGCCATTGCGATAACGAAAGTAGCATTATGAGAGCATTGCGCGATATCCTCGTCAAGTTGAATGATCTTCTTTATTCGTGATACTATCCATCCACCGCGTCACCAGGTTAGTCTCACAACATTTAGAAGACGGCGGATCGAGTTGTTATACGTACAAGGCAGAGCTGTCTGGCCTGTTATCTCCTCCGCCAGAGGAGCGGTGGCATTATTGCTGGGAGGCATCTTCAAGATAGACGGGAGATGTTGCTGGTGGAATGACGCGACGCGACGAGTTGTTGCAAGGACGTGAAATCAGAAATCGAATTGAAGAGCAGCTTTTTCGGTTAATTAGATAATTGGGACGCCGTAGAGATGACTGCTGACGTAGAGCTGGTCGCGTAATAAAGAGGTTCTGGCACGTGTGCGGTTTTCCATTGAAAGCGAGTCGTATGCGGCCTAAGTAGGTTATCGTCCGCAAGATGGAGCCAAGTGTATTCTTATTGCTAGCTACGTCGAGGATTATCCGGAAATAAGACTTTATTCAGGTCAATGGCTTTGGTTCTATTTTTATTATTACTCGCATTACTATCGGGACGACCATGGCATCCCAAAGTGAATCGTGATTGAAATTATTGTTGGGCTCGTATCGTGCTTATCTGCGGTCGATGCTTATCCCGATTGCGGCATCCGCAAGGCTGAGCTTTCACGCGGGCTCTTCTAGTTGACTAGCTTCATACACCACAACTACTTCCAAGAAACGGACATCCAGCACAGTCAATCTGGAAAGGATAAGGGCCGTTTATCTGGACAAGGAAACAGGGCGCTCCTCTCGGACTCTTCCTTTTTTTTTCTCTTCGCCTCTCTCCTCTATTGCCGGCTAGTCCATGTGTTCCGTGCTAGACTGCTATGCGAATGATCCCATCATCGAGGTTATACCCGACTTATGACCGCCCCTCGCGCATCGTCGAGCTCCGCGCAGCTTCGCCCTTTCCTTTCTCCAGTTGATCCTCAAACTCGAGCCTCGCGAAGGCTATCCGGCTTCTCCGTTTCCGACCAGAGCGATCACGGAGCCGGAGCAGCATCCACCGTCGCAGACACATCTACTCCGAACCCGACCGTCACCGAGGAGATCAACGAGATCAAGCGCTATGAGGATTTTACCACCATCGACTGGGTCCAGGATGCTGTGCACGAACAGGCGCGCCGCCGAGCTCGCCGAAAGGACGGCTCCGGCTTCTGGGACAAGGAGGGGACGCTGGGATGGAGGCGAAAGCTGCGCGAGTCGTACGACGCTGGCCAGGCCTGGCTTGTGGTGACTATCGTCGGCGCAGCAATTGGGTTGAATTCTGCCTTTCTCAACATTGTGACCGAGTGGCTGTCCGATATCAAGTTGGGCTATTGCACCACCGCCTTTTATTTGAACGAACAATTCTGCTGCTGGGGCGCGGAAGACGGTATGGCCATATAGCCTATTAAAACTGTGCAGAAATGCTTGCTAATATTGTCTCTTAATGGCACAGGTTGCCCCGAATGGAAGCGTTGGGGCTCGTTTGCATTCATGAACTACATTGCGTATTTTGTCTTCGCTGTATGTAACGCCGCTTCTGCGTGCCTTCCATTCAATAAATATCCAGTGCTGATATATTGTCTACATTATAGATTCTATTTGCCTTTACAGCTGCAACTCTGGTCAAGTCGTTTGCTCCATATGCCGCAGGTTCCGGCATCTCGGAGATCAAGTGTATCATCGCGGGGTTTGTGATGAAAGGGTTCCTCGGCGCTACAACTCTGTTCATCAAGTCTATCGGACTTCCTCTTGCCATTGCCTCTGGTTTGTCCGTGGGAAAAGAGGGTCCTAGCGTTCACTTTGCGGTGTGTACAGGAAACGTGATCTCTCGGTTCTTCAATAAATATCGACGGCATGCGGCCAAGACGAGAGAGATCCTGACTGCGAGCGCAGCGGCCGGCGTAGCAGTCGCGTTTGGCAGTCCGATCGGCGGTGTATTATTCTCACTCGAGGTGTGTATTATTGAAGAATATGAAGTGTACTTGCAGACCTAACCAGCAGCAGGAAATGGCAACTTACTTTCCCTTGAAGACTCTTTGGAGGAGCTATTTCTGTGCTCTGGTTGCGACCGGAGTGTTAGCTGTACGTGTCACTCTCATTAGGTCCGGACTTCCTCGTACTGACAATGTATAGGCTATGAATCCTTTCCGGACTGGTCAGCTGGTCATGTTCCAGGTCAAATATGATCGCACGTGGCATTTCTTTGAGCTGATCTTTTTCGTCTTTCTTGGCATCTTTGGCGGTTTATACGGCGCATTTGTCATAAAGTGGAATCTCCGAGTTCAGGCGTTCCGGAAGAAATATCTAGCAAAATACCCCGTGGCGGAAGCCACCGTCCTTGCCGGCATCACGGCGCTTTTATGCTATCCAAATATATTCTTGAGGATCAATATGACGGAAATGATGGAAATATTGTTCCGGGAGTGTGAAGGAGACAATAACTACAACGGCATCTGCGAGTAAGTGCTCTGCTGTTTTTGGAGGAGTCATTTAAAACTGAATTGCTTCAGGGCCAAGAATCGGTGGGGGATGGTGCTGTCGCTTGCCGTCGCCACTGTACTTCGGATATTCTTGGTGATCATTTCGTACGGTTGCAAAGTCCCCGCGGGTATCTTTGTACCGTCGATGGCGATCGGCGCATCCTTTGGCCGGCTAGTTGGGATCCTTGTCCAAGCGCTGCATGAATCATTTCCCGACTCGAATTTCTTTTCTGCTTGTGAACCGGATGTACCGTGTATCACACCAGGCACCTATGCTTTCCTTGGTGCTGCAGCTGCGTTGAGCGGGATCATGCACCTGACCATTTCGGTGACAGTCATCATGTTTGAGCTGACAGGAGCGTTGACGTACATTCTTCCGACGATGGTGAGTTGGGCACGATTTGGGGATTAATCCGCATGGAATGCAGCTGCTGACTTGCTCAGATCGTGGTAGGTGTGACTAAAGCTGTCAGCGACCGATTTGGCAAAGGTGGCATTGCCGACCGAATGATCTGGGCCAATGGCTTCCCATTCCTCGACAATAAGGAGGACCATGTGTTCAATGTCCCGGTCTCGCACGCAATGACCAGCAATCCGCTGTCCTTGCCAGCATCTGATTTCCCAGTGCGGGAAGTGGACCGTCTGTTGAACGACAACAAGTTCCAGGGGTTCCCCATCGTCGAGGACCGCAACAGCAGAATCTTGGTGGGCTATATTGGCCGTACGGAGCTCCGATATGCCGTCGATCGGGCGAAACGGGGAGGGCTTCTCTCTCCAAACGCAAAATGCGTGTTCTCAAAAGAAGCTGCTGCGGCGATGGTTTCGCAGGGACAACCCCCTACCCCCATTTCTCACAATGCTCCGCAAACCTTTGACGAACTCGAGGACGCCACGGGTGCCCGATTCGTAGACTTTAGCCCGTATGTGGACCACACGCCGCTTTCGGTGCATCCTCGCCTTCCACTTGAGACGGTCATGGAGCTGTTCAAAAAGATGGGGCCCCGCGTGATCTTGGTTGAGCACCGTGGTCGCCTAATAGGTCTGGTAACGGTGAAAGATTGCCTGAAGTATCAATTCAAAGTCGAGGCGCAAGAGAACGCGCTGGCAGCGGGTCCGGGACTGGGCAACGGCAACAGCCATGCTGACGATCATCCTGCCACTTTTGAGGAGAAGCTATGGGACTTTTTACAGCGGATCGGTCAGACGTTGAGGCTTATCAGCGGGAGCGGCGGTGGTGGCAGGGTGAGACTGAATTCCCGGTCGGGATCATTGCCGCTGCAGTCCAGACGAGGACCTTCGCCGGAGATCCTCGAAGGAACGGAAATTGATGACAGGGGGCTTGAATTGGAGGAGCGGAGGGAGAGGTAGGACTGACTATAGATTGTATTGCTTACTTCTATCAAGGAGGTATGCTGTACTGTATATGATGAATGAATTGAATTGACTGAATTATAAAACGAAACTTTATTCGATTGTCGGACGTAATAAGTGCCTTGCTTTAGCAATTATCGCACGTGTCCTGGACATTAGTCAAGGTATGGCTTCAGTGGTATTTCATTTCCATGAGAAAAGTATCTTGGTCCTATGAGGATATTATATCTATATTATACTATATATCATGACAGTCCGGTCTGGATCATATCAACTTGAGCCACTCTTCGTTGCGCTTCTGCCCTGCCGTCTACCCAGCAGGGCGTCATCTTCCGCTGCCTCCTCTTCCTCATCATGATCATCCCCATCCAACGTTATCGTCTCCCCCTCAGCTTGTCCTTCTCCTCCTTCCCTGCTGCTGCTGCTGTTGGTATGCTTATCCGTTTGGTTCTCCCTCATCCCGACAAGAATACAACCCGCCGCCATCATCGCAGCGCCCAACCACCACAACCCCCGCACGGGTTCGCCAAAGACAATCATCCCCAGAATGGCCGTGACGAGGAAGTTGGCCGAGGTGTTGGTGATGGAGACCTTGGTTGTCGAGGGCGCGGCCGTCAGGGCGCGGGTGAACAGGGCCCACATGGTGAAGTTGCTGAGGAGGTTGAGGGCGAAGCAGATCTGTTGATTCTCGAAAGTTAGCTCTTCTTCTTATCTATGATAAATAATATAGACAGGACGTCTGTGTATGTATGCAGCTGACGTACCCCCCGCACAACAACCTCCACCAACCCATCAGGGAGATGCAAGAAGTGCGCGATCCCGCGCGCCACGGAACCAGTTGATTCGGTTGTTGTTCTGTTTAAAATAAAAAAGAACATCAGTCAGAAATAAATACCGCTCTCTATATATAGTCATATGCATGTACGATATATAGGCAACGGAATAGAGGGGAGGGGGTGGTGGAGGACTACTCACAACTTCGCAAACAATCCATTCAAAGCCGCAAACGTCCCGCTCGCGACGGCGAGGATGATCCATCGCGTGGCTGTGAAGGGTGTCGTAGTTTTGGTTGTAGTGGAAGTGGTCATGGCGTCGTCGTCGTCGTCGTCGTGGATGGGATGAGTACACAGTAGGAGGAATGGAGGAGACCCGCTATCGAAGCACTTCCATTCGTTGTCCCTTTTTTTCTCCCTTTCTCTCTTTCCTCCAATTGAGACTCGATTATTGACTTGTGTTTGATCGAGATGGAATTGGATTGGATTGGATTGAATTGAATCAATTACTGACACCTCGACGTTCGTCAGCGTCAGCTGCGGAGTCGATCCTGACTGACTCGGGTTAGCGTGCTAGCAGCGGATCCACAAGCTTAACTTCATGAATGCGTGACGGCGAATGACATTGGAGCTTAAGTCCATACAGTACACAAAGGTACTACTACTCTATTCAAAAGACAAGAACTAGAGGGGTAAAAAAAGAATATTCTTCAATGCTTTCTTTCTTTTTCTACTTTATATGGTAGTTAACTAAGTATGTACAGTACAGTACTTACAAGAAAGTAATCAACGTGTTCAGACGAGTTTTATTTAATGCCGTGACGTCATTAAATCTACTTACTATATCATATCGCTACCAAGTTTCAGAAACAGAAAGGGGAGGAGGAGGGGGGGGAAGTTTTGTATTATTGTGATGTTTATCCCAGCAGTGGCTTTTGGTCAAAGTAAATTGATCTATCCTCCGTATGTACATACTGTACATGTATAGCTGAAATCTCCAGACTTGAAAAAAAAAAGCTCTTGTGTGAAATGACACTTTCTTCTTCTGAACACATCCTGTCTATTACTATTATCTATATAATTAATACCTTTCCTTCCTTGAGGACCACTCTAGTAATGTAGTATGCGGGCTGAAGAAATGAAATAAATACACATATGTAGGTTGGTCTATCTGCCTGTCGATAATCCTCTGTCATGCTCATGCTCCCAGGCGATTACTGGACACACCTCAGAGCATCCATCACTCGCCCATGTAACTGGCCATTCCTCACGGCCAGATAGATCTCGCTGGCATATGTCCCCAGGATCTTGCGATTGCCACCGTTCCCTTCTTCTCCCGCCGTCGCAAGGGTGGGATGGTCCACAAGGCCCCGATGCATCGGCACATTCAGGTCTTTCCTGACAAACTCGTAGAGGATCTTCGTTGCCGAGCTGAGGTAGGACGGTGTCGTCTGGTGTCGGAAGAAGCTTTCTCGGGTGCGGTTGTACACGTCACTCAGCGTTTCTCCGGCTCTTTTCTGGTATTTTTCGATGATGGTCAGGATGTCAGGGGACGAGGAGGTGTTGGTAGTATCGCCAGAGCGATAGAACGTCAAATGCTCCAGAAACGGTCCTAGTGATTCTTTCGCGGCGAGTGCCCCGCGATCTTTGAGATCGAGGTGTGATAAACGCGTCCATTTCTCGAGCAGGGTTTTCCACGACTCCGCTGCGAGCGCGTCCGAGTTTTTCGCCGACACAATCGGCGAGAAGAGTTCGTGGACAATTCCTCGGACGGCTGGCTCGGCTGCCTTGACGAATTCCAAGTGAAGACAACGGAGATCGAGGGCCTGACAGAGAGCGTAGATGTAGGTCGCTGCCATCAGAGACACCACTTCGATCGCTTCGAGTGTGTACCGCGCGGCCACCAGAGCCAACGAGTTCACCGACTGATTGTTCATTTCTGCGACTTGCACATGTGAACTGACCGGACGAGCAAGGTACGCGAGCTCCGACATGTACGCCGCCATGTTGACGTCGAAGCCTTTGAAGGTAAAGGACAGGCTCGGGTCATCGGCACTCAGGTTTGGAGGCAGTCCTTTGTTGAGCATGTTGTTGATCAGCTCTGAGCACTGCGCGTACAACAGCTTCCCAAACATCTGCATCGCTGTCATCGTCTTTTCCATGGCAGATGTCACGCATGCGGCCTGGAAATTACCGCCATGGTGGATGCTGTTGTTTGTCGCGTCAATCAGTGGATTGTCGGTCGTCGAGTTCACTTCGGCAGCGATCTGTCGATGCGCCAGGCAGAGGTCCTCGAGCTGTGGCCCGATCCACTGCGGCGCTGTCCGGAGAGGATACCGATCTTGGGCCAGGCCGATCGTCTGGGGATCTTTGTCAGGAGCAAGCTTTGATCCCGAAAGAAACGCGCCGATGTTGGCGGCAGCCTCCGTCTGGCCCGGATGAGGGCGAGCTGCGGAGATGAAGGGGTGATAATTATGAGCCGTGCCCAACAGAGCTTCGGTGCCCATCGCAGTGAGCAATTGGCAGAGCACAGCGATCTGCTGGGCCTGATGGGTGGCAATACAGGCTGCCGCACAGCTTGCGGCCGTACCGTTCGTGATCCCGAGTCCTTCCTTCGCCTGCAGACGGATGGGCTGCAGTCCAGCCTGTTCCAGAGCTTTGTCCGCTGGCAGGTAGGTTGGATTGCTGTCATCGCCCGTTCGCACGTATACGTCGGGATTCCCCTCAAGCATGCCAGCAATATACGATAGCGACGAAAGATCGCCCGAGGCCGATATGCTTCCACGGAGCGGCACAACTGGCGTCATGTTCTTCTCCAGCAGAGTCAGGATGGACTTAACAATGCTGACCCGAACCCCTGAATGGCCGCGCATAAGGGAGTTGCATCGAATGAGCATCATGGCCTTGACAATCGGGACGGGCAAAGCGTGGCCCCGGAGTCCTTGTGCTTGCGGAGTGGTGAGCGACGGAAGTCCCTTGTCAGACGGAAGCAAGATGCCGACGTTCAGATGTTGCTGCAATGCTATCTGGAGACCCTCCAAACTCGTCGTGCGAGTATCTGCACTGCCGCCAAAGCCTGTATTGACGCCATAGACGGTGCGGCCGCGTTTCAGCTCCTGGTCGAGAAAATCGACGCTTTGTTGCACCTGATCTAGGATCCTCTGGTCTTCTGTCAAAGCCGCCTTGGCTCCATACCTTTTGAATTGCGTTTTTTTTTGTCAGCTTGATATGAGACTTTTTCTTTTCATCGAGCAACTCCAGCGTACATGCAAACGGCTATCACACCAGGAATGGTCAAGGAATGCCCATCTATCAGAACCGGTTCGCGGGAGTCGAGATATGCTTGCAGCGCCGTCCATTCGGACCTTGTTAGTTTGGCATGTTGAAGATCCATGCTGTAGAGCAGTCTCGTTCTATGAACAACAACCTTGTCTGAATAACAACGCGTGAAGTTCCTTCCAGAGTCTGTATATTTATATATAAAGAAGATGATCCTGATTCGACCTCGTATTTATCAAATCAAATCAATCAATCAAACTCGTTATCCCTGAAGCCTCGATGCAATTCTTCACAGCATTCGAGCAAGGAAGAAGGCTCTTATGAATTCTGAAGAAAATAGAGTTCTTTATCAGGATCGTACCAAGGGATGGATGGAGGGTGGAGCGGTGAAGCAGGCGAGGTCGCAGCCCTGATCCTAGGCCCTAGGCCCTAAGCTTACTACACCGAGCAAGGCCGCTAACCAATCAGTCCCGAGAATTTCGTAAACTTCGTCAACAACTAATAAAGACGTCGAACCATCATCATTATCGATATTTGATTTTAGCTCGAGGGCGGAAACGGACGTGCTCGGGCGGGTGACAGATGGGATGAAGACAAGTCTCCTTTCTGCAGTCCTTTGTTCTATGGCGGGATACATACATAGATATATGTATTCAACCATCTCGGTGTCACTGCATATGCAATTATTAACAATGAATACTGTGGGGAGCCTTACGAAGCTCACGGTCTGCAGAGATGCGACACCATGTCTGCAAGTGTACGAAGTAGATATTGTCGGCACACTAGACAATTGAACGTCAAGCTAGACAGGGATCAAATGCAGCTATCCAATTAACTACGTGTAGTAACTAGCCAATAAGCGTTAAATCGTGATAATTTGCAGATTAAGTTCTTCAGGGGTTTCGAGCCGGAAGGTAACAAAGAATTCAAAAGCAGATCCTATGTCTTTGTTTCGATAGTAGATAAGAGTAATAGCACAGGCAGTAAAGCACGAACAAAGAATGCCAACACACCTCCCTTGCTAGCATCTAAAGCTACAGCTGTACTCATTTCTAGAGTAAGTAATTCCCTAACTACGTATGCAGGTATGTAACACCCGCTAACTATGAATGCCAACTGCCTCTTGTGGGCCTAGGTATACTTTTATAAAAGCCACCTTAATTTTTAACCTCCTTAGGTCTGGCTTTATAACCTGTTAGTATAGTAGATAGTTATTTATTCATGAGGTACAGTAAGATTATAATTAAAATTAAAATCATAGGTGCCTATCGAACTAGCTAACTAACTATTAACGTGATTTGTTAACAGAATGAAGTCTTCTAGAGGATTTTGAGCCCATATTTATGCAGCATGCTTGCAAGAAAGTGGCAAAGAGTTGAAAAATACCTAGATCCCGTATCTTTCTGATGCTGCGAGCAGGGTCCTGCCAGATATAATGAATGAATGCACGTCGACTCCCGGCTCCATCACTTGAGTTAATATAGAGCAGCCAGCCCATCTTGATGTTCTTGTTGAATTGAATTTCGAATATGATCTTGTTAATCCCAAGACGTCTAGACCAAAAGGGCTTCGAAGGAATTGCTGAACCTGTTTCAATCAAGACGATCTGCTTCGATCAGTTAAAAAGCAGAAATCACTCCAGGTGGGTTGCGAAGCTGGAAATCCTGTCAATGAAGCGAATAAGAAACACCCAAGATAAATATCAACACTCAAGATAAATATATTATTTCCCATAGACGTATCTGAATATATATCTATATGATATCATACAGGCACGAGATAAAAAAAAAGAAGCTCGTATCTACAAGTACATTGTCTTGTTTTGAAATTTGAAATAATACATCGTTTTACAATCCGGTTCAGCGTGGCCGGAATACAGCGATCAACAGGCCCATCACAGCAGCTCCAGCCGCGGCGCTCTGAACCGCAACCGTCGTGAGATCGCGTTGGGTGAGGATCACATTTCGATCGCTGAGAAGGTTGCGAACAGTTTCCTTCCAGTATTCAGGAGACAGAACATTCTCAACAGAGAGCTGACCAGGCAGCACTGACTCTGGTGGAAGACCAGCTGGAACTGTGGTAACGGGAACGCTCGTGTCCGGGTCTGATGTCAAGCCGATATTGGACACGATTTCTTCCAATTGAGTCTCGACCTGTTCTGCTGCAGCTGGCGAATCGGCCGCGACATCCACACTAGGACTAACGCTTGCTACTGCACCAGCTGCAATTGCTCTTGTCGCAGCAGCCTCGTTCTCGATCGCTTCTTTGACCTTCTCCTCAAATCCCTTCACCAGTCTCCGTCGTCGCCATGGTTCCACCAAGACCTGGAAGATCAGAAACAGGAGCACGTTCACCCCCATCAGGCCCCAAGTGCCCCAGGTACTCATTCGCCGGATCTTGTCCGACCAAATCTGCTCTTCATGGTAGCGAGAAAGGATGCTTCGGTTGAGTTGCGCCGTAGCCTCTTCCACTTCGCGTTCAGCCTCAGCGAGGGCCTGCTGCGCCTCAGCCTCCGCGACTTCGTTGGCGTGGTCGGAGCGGTAGAGAGACGTAAAGCGTTCGAGATCGGCCGGGGACCACGCGTGTTTCCTCTGAAGAAGTTCGTTAACTTCCCGCTGAGAGGCTGAGCGGCGATTGATCGCAGCTGAGTAGGCCTCCTTGGCCTTGCGGACAACTGACCGGGCCTCGCGAACTCGCGCCTCTGCAGGTACAAACATTTGTCAGTAAATAAAATCCAGCCCCAACCAGAAACAGCTCTCCATTGACACACGTACCGTGAGATTCGATCTCCTTTTTGAGCTTTTCAATAGCAGAATATCCGGTCAGGTCATTTAGCCTCTGACCTACAATGAATATATTCGATTGCAGATTGTCCATCAGATTGGTAAACTGCTTTGACAGCTGTGATCTTCGTCCTTCCTCCTGTGACGGGAGTTCTTCCTCCCTTCCTCCCAAACTCTTCTGGGAACCATGTTGGCCCTCCACCTTTTCTTCCTTCACAGCGGCTCCCGAGGACGACGATGACGCTGGTTGTACTGGTTGTCCCTCCGTCCGGTTTGTGTCATTGTGGGTAGCGTTTGTCTCATTCAACGGGTTCTCATCCTTTCCGGATCTATCTTCCTCTTTAGAAGAGTACAGACGTGACTGGGCTCTGAATTGACATCGCACGCAGATTGAAAACTCCCGCGCGGGGAGAACCTTGGTAGGCGAGGCGAGCTTCGACCGAGGTGCCGGCGGAAGGAGATGTGGACGGGGACGGGAGGTTCTCGCCAGGCCGACGCCCGATCGGAGCGATTGCCTGACCAGCAATGGCACCGGATGCATGGCTGGCCAAACCTCTGTGAAGGCCACGAGGTCTTCTGTCTGCCGTTGAATTGAAGGAATGGGGCAGCGGGCGGATCGGAGAGGAGCTGAGAGTCGGCCGGCGATTGTTGAGGCCTTCCAACGCTAGCGCCGCGGTCCAGCGGGACTCGTGATTGGACCAGGCGTGCAGTCCATACATTACATTACATTGGAGCAACTGGGCTCGATTTAACAGCATATAGACATCCTGCTTCTCTCTTCTGAGAAATGCATGTACTGTCATTTAATTCTTTTAATTGCCGTTGTATTTGCTGAGTTAGATGCCAGAATTGGAGGGGATAGGCATACGTCAGCCGATACTGGCAATTAGCATCCGTCTCGACAGTTAAACATTCCAATAACACTTTCCGTCACCAATATTGATCCTTTTTTGATAGTCGTAGATAAACATGGGTATTTATTTATCTGCATAATTTGGGCCACAGTAAGTTCAGGAGAAAGGCAACACATGCAAGGAAAAACAACCTGGGCGCTGAATTCCTTAATATCGGAGCATTGATCACAGGAAAAACCACAAGTCGCGTGGCAAAACTGGGAGAGAAGAGGGTTTTCATTAAAAAATTGCGGTGCCAGAAAGCGTCTACGTCGAATATAACCAAATATAACTGCATGTAATATTGGGGGGAATAACGAGTCGCGATTGAATCCTTTTCATTCTTTTTTTGGGCCCTCAAGACTCCACTGATGAGGTACCATGAATTCAATCTTGAGTCTGCACCTTATGGTCACCTTTCACGGCTTCAGCATATGTTGGCGGAGGACGACTGTCGCCAGCTTCCGGCTGGTGTGATTCCGGTGGGACAGTCTGGGAGGCCGACGTTGCACCGTAGTTTCTGTCCCCCGGGTGAGGAGCAGCAGGTTGATGATACACGTAGTAGTAGGTCACCCGACCGCTTTCGACATCACCGCGGCGGGAGCCCGTGAGATGTTCGTAACCCTCATGTTCAGGATCGGAATCTGGGTATTTCAAGATGATGTACCAAGCGTGCAGGAGGCCGGGAATATAGCCGAGACAGCAGAGCGCGAGGTTGATGATCGAGTCGGCAGTACAAATGCCGCGCTTTATCCATACTTTTAGATTACCAAGGTCAGTATCATAAAAGCCCACAAATAACAGCAACACCAAGTTTTCTTCTGGGAGTACACGATCCCAGGCTAGTACTCACCAGAAATGGGCGGAAAGAAAACGGCGAGGATGGCGAGGAAGACGTCTGCGCCGCACATGATTGGGACAGCGGGTCGACGTCTCCAAGAATTCTGGAGGCACTGGGGTGATCTGTCAAAAGAAGATGAATCAGAGACAAACGGAGACGGGAGGACCCGTCTACGCGTGGATTATCGGGGATTCAGCGGGTTGTTCTGGCACAAAGGGAGGTGCGAGAATAATAAAGTGGGAGCCTGGTGCCTCTCCACATGACGTCGATAAGGCTGGGTGACAGGACCTGGGCCTCACGTGACTGTCTGCTTTCGGGTCCGCTAGCAGACACGTGGAGAGACCGAGAGAGGCTCTGGAAGAAATTGGACATGCTTTGATGGCCCTGGCCCCTATGTCATTGCCTGGTTATATTATTTAGGAAGCAGATATGTAGAATGGTGTTTGTCCAAGGTATGGCCGCGACAAATCGTGTTCATCGCCGGTAGACGAGTACGGAGTATTCTGTACTCCGTACTGGCCTTGCGATTTACACCCATTTTATCAGCACTTCGATCTGTTAGACGCTCTGACGTTAGTCAGGAGCCAAGAATGAAGGTTTATCATGATTCTCTTTTCCCACATGACTCCACCACTTGCTGCTCGCAAGTCGATACTTCAAGATGTGCACAGTGCACGTAGGTACAGGAGGCGATTGTTTAGCTCCGGGGACGGAGGGCGGAAAAGCTGTGGAAATTATCTCCTCGGGCCACGAGGCATAAGCTCCGACCTCCGACTCCACCGTCGGTCCCTGAGCTGTGCCACCACGGTTGACCGTCCCTAACAGAGCACCGCTGCGATGCGGGATGTGGAGTGGAGAACACGCGCAGTAACTGGGGCCTCCTGGACGTGATGCCTGAAACTGTTCACCTCCTGCGTGCTCCATATACTTGCGGTGTGGTCACCACCATCTCCTCCCACGTATCTTGGTAGTTACGTGTCCGCCCTGGAAGTATCCAGACAACGGTTACAGAACGACAAGGCTGTCAATGGCCCTGGGGGTCAAACAAACGGCCCTGCTGATGTCTCCGCCAGAGCTCTCTGAGCCGTGCCGCGTCGATATCATGCATCGGCCTCGGTAGTGCGTCCCCGCCTCCTGGAATACTACAGGCAACCTGCGTCACTGTTTCTCAGCCTTGTGCGAGTTCCAGACCTTGGAGGTTCTCTGTTTGCCCGGACGCAGACGCGTTTCATGCTGTTGGGCTCTCACTGTTCTGCAAGGCGGTCGATCTGCTGGTCTCGTCCGGTCCCTGGCAGACGGCGCGCAGGCTAAGCAGGCTAAGCAGGCCCGTTTGAAGGCCGGCCAGTCGCGGGGATCCGTCCTCGCGCTGGGCTCCATCGGGCGTCTGTTCGCTGGCCTCTGCTAGCCTGTTTCATCCTAGAGCGTCGCTTCCCTTGGTTTCTGCCGCCTCGCGCTGCTGCCACGGCCGCTCCGTCCGGTTAGCGAGAAGTCAAAATCGCCGTGAGAGCTGGCTGGTACTGCTAGGGAGGGCGTGCTTGCCTTGTACGCTGTAGACCAGCCTCTCGACCTCTGCTGCTCCCGTGCGCGCCTTCTGTTCTTTTTCTTTCTGCGCTTGCCCCTTCGATTCTCTTCAGAGTCGCTCTTTTCCTTCTCGACCGTCCATTCCTTCGCGGTTCTCGTCTGGGTGTTCGTGCCCAAGTCACTCGTTACGTTTTGCTTTCTTCAGGCCGTTGCCGGTCTGCGATTCCTTTTTGCCCCTTTTCTTTTCCTGTTACCTTCGTTGCGCCGCGGCCGCCCTTTGAATCTCGAGTCCCGATCACAAGCCGACATGACGAGTCTGTGAGGAACCTGTGCTCTCCAATTCGACTGTCAAGTGTTGGAAAAGCAGATTGGCCTGCCAGAGATCTCTGTCCGGTTGTCATTGGGATTTTGAGAGTCAATTCGGAGAACCCGGCCCACCATGTCGGGCTCCTGCATTTCGCTTGCTGGTTCCACGACCTGTCCTGCTTTTAATGCTTCTTCGATTTCCACCGATCCCAGTCTTGTTGCGCAATTGTATGCTTCTCTTCGATTTCGACTGTGCGGTTCCGAGGTGGCTGACCGGTCGCTTCATCTAGTCCCTTTCTCGCCTATGTTTCAAACGTCCACGAGTTCGACCAGCAATTGAGCAACTACGTCAAATCCGACTATGTCAAGGAGAAGTATGTTCCGCTCCAGTGGGGGATCCATCTTGGCCAGGACTGATCGTCTCTTCTTCACCTTAGATATCAGCAGCTGTTAGGATGTTCGAAAGTCAATCTTACCGACACGAGAGACTACTATGCTCGGTATACGACCAGCGTAATTTGCAATGGCATTGTGCAGAACTCCAAAACCCCGTGCGGTCTCTCGAATGAGCAGTCAATGCCTCTCTGTGCCGATACTTGCGTTCGTACCCTGGCCTTCCCTCTCCAGGACTTTTACTGATTTCCTGCAGGCTCTCTTTGCGACTAGTGAGGAGGAGATTACGGTGGACTCCCAGCTCTGTGGCACGCCCCAGTCCAACTACGTGAGCCAAATTCGCGCCGATTTTACCAACTGCGCGTTGCCTGCAGATTCGCTCTCGGGATCCTGTATTCCGGGGGACCAAAATGAGCCTGATGAGTGTGGTTATGGCACGAATCTCTTGGGTCTCTGCAGTTATTGCGCAGCCAGTTCTCCCAATGCAACCGATTCGTGCTGTATAAATTCAAATGCCACGGGTCGTTGCGCAAACGTTCACCTTCCGTCGCCAACCACGCTGCCGGCATTGTTTACATCTACTTCCTTACCAACAGCGACTTCCAACTCCACCAATTCGAACCACCATCTTTCTGGGGGTCAAATTGCCGGCATTGCAATAGGTTCCGTGGCTGGGTTTGCGTTGGTGGTGGCTTTGTTGGCCCTCCTTTTCGTCTGTCTACGCAGACGCAACGCAGCGAAGGGAAGCAACGTCTTAAATCAGCCGAACCCGCACCGAACAGGCCCGGCCCCAATGCAATATGCTCCTGCACCCACCAGTCAGAAGAGTTTCGAGCCGGTTCCAGGAGGACGAGTGGCCCGAATGTCGGCTTTACAGGCTGAATCGGACGGCTCGACTCGCACTCACACCGCTACCACCAGAGGTGGTACGACCAAGTACAGTGACGTCTCTGACTCGGAGGGACTGGGGGCGAGCCCTGGAGGTCTGTCTCGGCGTGGTCCCCCTACTGCTGGGAGGCGTCACGGTTCGCTCTCCAGCACTTCGGTGTTGGCCATGGAGGGCGAGAATTCTCCCCATTCCGGCACGGTTGGGCAGGTCTCCTCTCCCGACGGCGTTACCAGCGGGCAGTCGGAACAGCTTGCTTACTTCCGAGACTACTACTCGCAGGATGATATTCATCCAGGTGACGCAGTCTCAGTGTTGTGGGCTTATCAGCCTCGCGCGGCGGACGAGTTCGAATTAGAAAGAGGAGATATGTTGAAGGTTGTTGGCATCTGGGACGATGGCTGGGCAACCGGCGTTCGTCTCAATGAGAGGGCAGAGGATTTTGATGCGAAGCACAATCCCCAACGGGATAGTGGCGTTTCCAACGGATCAGAGAAACGAGGCTCATCGCCCCCGCCTCGAGCAGAGATCAAGGCGTTCCCGGTCAGTACATCTGCTGATTTCCCCTCTTCCTTACAGCTAACTAACGGTTCCTGCAGCTTGTTTGTGTGTGTCTCCCGCAACATTGGAGAAAGATCATTGAAGGGGATGCGGCAGCTGAGGCTGGTTCACCGCCATCCTAATGCACTTCTGATCTGAAGAACACGTTTCATGCGGCATCATGTCTTGACGATGGTTTCTTATCCTCTTCTTTTTACGGCGTTGCGTGAGGTCTTCTTTTTTTTTCCCCCCCTTTGGAACTTTTTCACCTCAAACAACCCGTTCGTCAGAGCCCATGTTCAGGTTCAGATGACCCCGTACCGGCATCACCTTTTCTCCGACAGACACGCCAAAGAATTCCAATTCTGGGGCCTCTGCCAACCGTCGAGCCTCTTCGCAGTATCATTTTACCTTTGCCTTGTTCATAAGATGCGCTGGTTTCGAACATCGAGTTTCCGCTGCAGAGCCCTTTGAGATGTCGATTGACGTCCGTAGACGACCTGTAAGGCGAAATCTGGGTGGCTCAGCGAGATGATTTGCTTAGCTTTTTCCTTTTTTTTATACCCCATTATGGCGATAACCTTGCCGTTGGTCCCTTTTGTTATTTATTTTCTTCAAGCACGCAAGCGCGTTGTTTGTTTTTAACTTCCATCCTGGTTGACTGGACTCTAATTCCTTATTCACAACTTCTCTTCTGATGCCTGGGTGGTGCTCTGCGCAAACTCTTGCGCAGAGCGATGAGGGCTCAAGGCAACGGGAATGAAGTGCATTCCCTTTAGATATCTTCTGTATCTACGTATGTAGCAAATGTAGATATTGTATGTACTTCGACTGCATTGATTGACCAAGTTGTGTGGTCTTTGCGATTCCATTGATTTTCCTACTACTAGCATTCTTTCTACCTACCTACAGAGTAGGCAGGTCGTTATTTTGGGACGGTGAACTTGGGACGCTGCCGGCCCGCCCCACATGGCTATCAGTGTATCTTATCTCGATCTTGAATCTATCGATATCGATATTGGTTGGCCTCGTTTATCTTCGCTTCTTATATTTATTTTATTTACATCCAGACAATCACGAACTTGAGACGGCAGAACAGGACGTTTGAGGAAATTCTGCAAAAAAAGATAAAGGAAAGGAGAAATTCTGATCTTGAATAGTTCAGTTCCATCTCGCAGTTCACCATCTTCTCGCTCGTCAGCGATGGCTACGCTAGATTCCAAACCCTTCCCTGTGCCTAACAGCACCCTCTCCTTTTGGAGAACGCAGCCCCATGATCTTGACAGTCACCGTTCTACGGAGGAGCTTCCTGCCGAATGTGACATTGTGATCATCGGAGCCGGGTACGCCGGCGCCTCCGTCGCCTATTATCTCCTGGAGGATAACCCCTCTCCGCCATCAATTGTGATCCTCGAAGCCAGACAGGCGTGTTCGGGGGCAACTGGGCGAAATGGTGAGTTCCATACTTATATCCTTGTGGAATAAATCAATCTCAATCTGCTTTTCATTGTTAAGTTTCCTGTTTCTCGCAGGACTTGCTGTTGGCTTCTCATGACACGTCCTAGGAGAAAGAGAACTAACTAGTCCGTTTGAACGACGCAGGCGGGCACTTGAAACCGAGTCCGTACCAAGTTATCATCAACAATGCCCCAAAATACGGCCTTGAAGCAGCGGTGGAGTTGGCCAGGTTTGAAACGGCCCATATCCCTGCCATGAAACAGCTCGTCGAGAAAGAGAATATTGATTGCGACTTCCATATCACTCGCGCGGTGGACGTTCTTCTGGACGAGAGTCACTGCCAGAAGGTGAAACAAGGTTATGATGAACTAGTGAAAGCCGGCGTTTCCACTCTCCTGGATGTGGAGTATATACCAGAATCGAAAGCGGAGAGGGCAAGTATTTTCTTAATTTTTAGTCTCTAAGATGATTCGAAAGAACTGACTAAACTTGCCATATGGTGAAAACGGCAGATATCTGGAGTCAAAAATGCCAAAGGCTGTTTCAGTTTCACTGCTTGTCATGTATGGCCGTATAAGCTCGTGCTTCATCTCCTGAAAATTGCCGTTTCCCGGGGCGTCAATTTGCAGACGCACACACCCGTCTCTGAGGTGTCAGCAACGCCCGATGCCTCGACGGGACGTTGGACTGTCGTCACCCAGTCTCGGGGCTCGATCCGGGCCAAGAAGGTGGTATACGCGACAAATGCCTACACCGCAGCGCTCGCTCCACAGTATGCGGGCAAGATTGTCCCCGTTCGTGGAATCTGCAGCCGGATCGTCACCCCGAAGGACAAGCCAGCGCCACATCTTCCTAATACGTACAGCCTGCGTTGGAGCGCTGCGCTGTACGACTACCTGATTCCTCGCCCTGACGGCAGCATTATCGTCGGAGGAGCGAGAAAGGACTATCTCTCCGATCCGAAGAATTGGTATAACAATTTCGATGATTCGCAGCTCATAGATTCTGCGAAGCACTACTTTGACGGCTACATGCAGCGGCATTTCCGAGGCTGGGAGGACAGCGGAGCATACACGGATCGAGTGTGGACTGGAGGTTGGTGTGAAGCAAACACACAAGCCCTTTTGACGCTTTGTTTCATAATACGAGCTCACAAAGAGACTGACGACAAAACCTTCTCCCAGTGATGGGCTATTGCAGTGACTACCTGCCGCACGTTGGCCCTATACCAGGCAAGCCGGGACAGCTGATTATCGCCGGCTTCTCGGGCCATGGGATGCCACAAATCCTCCTTTCTGCCAAGGGAATCGCTAAGATGATTCTAGAGGATGTCCCTTTTGAGGAGACGGGGATCCCACGATTGTACCGGACGACGCAGGAGAGACTGGATAGTACGGAAGAGAAAATACTCTCGACTGCTGGAATTAGCACTGCAAGGGCAAGTCTGTAGCAGACGTCGCAAGTTCTGCAAAGACACAGAGAAAGTGAAAACATGCGCACAATGATGCCATTGGGCTTTGTTTACAGGTATGCATGTGGATGGAAAGGATTATCCGATCCAGCAAAAAAAATACCATTGGATAGGTATAATTGGTTTATCGAGGTGCATGTGAGGACCTAGTAACTACCTAGGAAATTTCAACTTGAGCTCGATATTCGAAGACAATCGAAGATCAGAGTGGTTGAACTAAACTAAGTGTAGATTATTTAATATTATCTCCGAACTTTAATTGCTTCCTCCGCAGTGGCCCCACCACGGCGATGTCATCCGCAGGTCTGTCGGCCGTCCTGCCCGACTTCACCCTCTGGCCCATTTGTCCCTGTCAACAGGCTCCTTTCCTCATTGAACTGCAGCCTCTACCTCTCTCTTCCTTTCGCTCCTGGTCCTGCGCTCTCTTGCCGCGGCTACTGACCTTCTTCCCGCTCGTCATCCTCCGAATTCGGTTCATGCCTGTTCGCCCCTCGACCCTGCCATTGAGGTTCAAGTTATTACCGCTCAATCGGACTAGTCTCTTCTCTGGAGGGATTTACAGAAGGTTAATTCGCCTGATTACTATGACGGCAGACAAGGTAAGTTGCGTGCAGGTTATTTTTCTGTGGGAATGAGAAAAGAAGGCCAAGCTAATACGCAGCAGCAAGGTCCAAGTAGCTCCTCCAACCATCCAAAGAGGCTGGTCTGTATGTTTCACCCACCTGCTGGCAAACTTCTGTCGGTGCGGAAGGTCTTGTCCAGGATTGTATAGCTGATGTTATCGATTGCAGTCGCCCCCGGCGACATCCAAGGACCCGATGCCGAGGGTGCGAAGGCAGCGACTTCTCGCCTTGCGGAGGAGATATCTCGCTCTGACACATCGACGCCCACTTCGGCCACCCAACAGGAACTTCTGTCTCATCCTGCTCGCGCGCACCAGTTTGTAATCAATCCGCCGCTCACAATCTCGCAACTACATCCTACCAACCCTCTCCATCAGTTCCACTCGTGGTTCAAAGATCCGCGTCTTTCTCCCTCCTCAGCGCCGGAGACATGTACCCTAGCAACGGCGTCTCTACCCTCTGGTCGCGTGAGTGCTCGCGTGGTCTATCTCAAAGAGCTGGACGAGAGAGGGTGGGTCGTCTACAGCAATTGGGGCAGCCGGGAGGGAAAAGGTGGCCAGGTGTTTGGGAGAGGGGCCAACCAGCTTGGACCAGATGGTATCAGTGCGGCGGCTGCACAAGGGCTACAGGATCAACCGTTCGACCAGGGCAACAAATGGGCAGCACTGACCTTTTTCTGGCCCACGGTGGAGCGCCAAGTGAGGATCGAGGGCCTGATCGAGCCGCTCACGAGGGAAGAGAGCGAGATGTACTGGCGCACGAGGGAACGCGGCAGTCAAATCGGCGCCTGGGCGAGCTGGCAGAGTAAAGTGCTCTGGACGGCGGAGCCCGGGACGCTGCCTCTACGACGGAAGAGCGAGGCCGCAGCTGGGGGCAAAGGGCACAGAGCGCGCAGATATCGAAGACGGACGCGCTGTGCTGGAGCAGCGCGTCAAAGAGATAGAAGAGCGATTCGCAGACAAGGAGGAGATCCCTCTGCCGCCTTTCTGGGGCGGCGTGCGCATTGTCCCCGAGTCAGTCGAGTTCTGGCAGGGCCGACAGAGTCGACTGCATGACCGATTCCGCTACGTGCGGGTCGAGACAGGAGGACAGTCCAACGCCGAGGCGCAGGAAGGCGAATCTTTCAAGTGGCGGATAGAGCGGTTGTCTCCATAGAAGAACAGTAATGAACTTATCGTTAAACTTGTACTGTACATATAAAAAATGGGGAGGTTGGAAGACGTCTATAGACGGTGGGCATTAATTATCTCTCTAAGATCAGTACTGTAATAGTAGTGAAAGAGGTAAGTAACTCTTAATGGCAACACTAGTTGTGAAAGATAGGTATCATCCTCTGGCTAAGTTTATAAAATTCTCTTCAAAGACTACAGTGAAAACAGACTTAGATGACATGAGGCTGTGAGCATACAAGGAAAGAGGTTGATCATGTAGTAAAAGGTGATGTAGATAGACAAATGAGAGAAAGAGACAGTGACCTATAAGCAGGATCATATCATCCTCGTATTGGGCAAGAGCCTAACTATTTGCACTGGTCATGTTGGCTACCTATCTGGCCCAGGTATCTAGGGATGGGAAAATGAATTTCAATTTCTGTCATTGCCTCTTCACGTCACACAAAGCAATCACTACCCACTCATTATACTTATGCAGTGCAAACTGCCAGCAATGATGACTGAGTCGATCAGATATTTCTGAAGTCGGCTCCCCTCTCTCCTCGATCTGTCCATTCTTTATGTGACTTCTGTCACAATCACCAGCACTACCTGCTTGAGTTTGTCTTGTTGTCCTCTCTTTTCCTGTTTAAACACCTGAGATGATTTCAAGGTGAGCAATATCCACCACTTGACTTATATTAGCTACCAACAAATCTCACTTCCTTTTCTGTTTCACTTCATTTCTACTTTTCCGTTTTGTTTACACTCTCTTGTTCATCACTTCAACAAATATTTCGATCCTTTTCTCTCCCACCACCTTACTAATTCTCGAGACCAAGCCAATTCTTGCTTGAGCCTACCAATTTTTTACAATCTCCTACCATATCGATGACAAAATGCTCGAAACAGTTGATGAGCGCATACGACAGGCCAAAGGAAAATGGGCAATTGCCAAGGTACGGTCTACACAGTCTGTCTATGAGGATTATGACCTTTTTTGTGCTCAAGTTGATATAGCAGCAACTCCTCGCAAACAGCCTCAGAGCCATACAACTGAGATCACACTGCCAGCTCCAACCCGTCTCCCCTCCCCAGCGACACCAGATACAGGCACGACGACCGCGATCAAGACCAACAAAATCGACTTGGATTGTTTGGTTCGAATACCATTAGAGACGTCCAGACAAATTCTTATTAGTCCATACGAGGTGGACTGGGCTGACAGGGCTTGGAAAGTAAGCACTCTTCTTGGCTACGGTCTTACGTGCGAGCCATATCCAACTGCAACAATACAGACCTTACATCCTGCTCATTCTTGTTTTAGTTGTGACCTCGAACCAGGACACTCTGACTACAAGTTCAGATGAGTCCAAGCCGACTGAGAGCCCCTCACAACCTATTATTCTGACAGTTTTTTAAGAGAACGGCAAGGCCAATGCGGAAGCTGCTCTATTGATAACTGAGTTGCTTGGAGCTCAGGACAAGTTTGCTGAACTTCGTTTTGCAGTCATCTCCTCTCATTCCTCTTTTACTCGTTTTACTCGACCATCTATTTCCCTTTTTCTTCTCACTTCTATCACTGAAGACATTTCTCGTTGTTGACTATTGCTTTATTTATATTCTCGCCTTTACATGTCGCCTTTGCTTCTCATCTTTACCTCATTTGTCCTTTCCCCAACTTTCCCTCCTTAGCGCTCATCTGATCCCTCCCTTTGCCCTACTTCCATCCTTACTACTCATCATATATCTCCCAGAGGCTTCTCCAAAAACCACTTTCTCTCATTCTTATCCTTTCCCAATTTCCCTTCTCTAATTTCACTCATTGAAGCTCTTCATGGCCTTCGAAATGGATCCGTCCGGAGGTGAATATCCAGTTCACCTTGCTGCTTCAACCGGACCTACCACATCAGACGAACCGGTTGCATCACAGGAATTACCGGTCCCAGATATCCTCCTTCCTCATACTGAGCCAGGACAACCGCCTATCCCTAATCCCAGCTTCCCACCTCCTCCACCTGCAAATATGCCCCTTAACATCGACGCCAAGCTGCTTGAAACAGTGAATGAGCGCAGGCTACAGGCTAAGGCAAAAGGGGCCCTTGCTAGAGCACGTCTGAGGCTCCAGCAACCGCAGAATTTTGCTCAGAGTACTCCTCGTGAAGAGCCTACTAACCCAGACGACGTGGACTGGGCTGCTGAAGAGAACGCGTTGGCAGACGAAGACTCGGGAAAGTAAGTCAAAAGCAAGCACTCTTCTCGAATATATTCTTACACGGCCACTAGCTTTGAAGCAGTGAAGACATGGTTTGAAGCCCTCAAAAAACCAACAATGGAGGAACGGGTTTTGTACGAGGCCGCGAAACGTGATGAAGACAGACGCCAGAAGAGACTTCTCAGCAGGGAACAATTTGAGCAAGAGCTCTCAAAATCAGCCAATCGACGAGCCTGACGATGATGATAATGACCTTTTTGTTCCTCAAGAAGATACAGCAGCAACTGCTCTCAAACGGCCTCATGGGCAGAGTGATCCAATTGATGAAGACACTGCCACGTCCGCAACTGGCCCTGTCGATTCCAACCCGTCTGCACCCAAGCGACGCCGGCGGCAGGCTAGAGTAACCGCCAAGGAGGATCGAAAAAGCATAGAAATCGGGTTGAACATCATGCTTTCCAGACGCAGGGTAACGAGCGGTAGGGGGATTGCTGACAAGTTGTCACAAATAAGAAATTCGGATCTACAAAGCCAAAGTCAGGCGGCTCTAAGCGACGACCAGGACCGAATGCCCAGAAGCTCGTGGCCCAGTTTCGGGCGTTCATGGAGGAACTGCGAAGCAGCGAAAATGAAGACCTGCAGCTGTTGGGGATGTGTTGCCCCGTGTGCAAATCAATCCCGATGGAGACGCATGTCAGCTCATGCATGCACCTTTTCTGCGAAGACTGTCTTCTGAGCCTGGCGGGGTCGACCGAAGATACCGAGGGGCGAACCGTCTGTCCTGTGTGTGACGTCCCAATTGAAGAAGTCGCACCGTGTGGTCCTGTTGAGAGAATTTTTCTGGATCCGATGCCCGAGGCAGAATCGCCGAATCAGAAAGGCGCGGCGGAGGGGAAGAACAAGAAGAAAGAGCAGCAGAAGAAGCACGCAAGAAGCCAGAAGAAGAAAGCCGCTCGCAACATTTTCAACTCTAATAACCACGATGAAGAAGATGACGGAGACGAGAGCAACGAGGCGGACGAGACGAAGGATTGGATGGCCATCGCAGGCCACCTGATGCCGAGCGCGAAAGTGACCAAAGTGCGCGAGATCATCCGCGAATGGCTGCACGAGGCGCCTGATACGAAGGTGGTGATTTTCACCCAGTTTCGTGTCATGGCCACCATCTTTGGCTCGATGTGCATACAAGAAGACTGGGGTTACACCTGCGTAAGTTGAGCAGCTCACTCTATCTGAATCATTAGGAATCAATTGGACTTGTGCTGACTGCATTTCAGCTCCTTGGAAGCATGTCCTTTACGAGCCGGGATGAGAGCATCCGCGACTTCCAGGAGAACGAAAATATCCGGGTGATGATCGCGTCTCTGAAAGCCGGCGGAATTGGTCTCGACCTCACGATGGCGAACAAATGCATTCTTTTGGAGCCGTGGTGGAACGAAGCGATTCAGCAGCAGGTATGTACTGCGCGCATAAGCTCAACGCCTCCTAATATCTCATTTCTTTTTTCTTTTCTAACCTCACAACCCACACCAGGCATTCTGCCGTCTTTCCCGCATCGGCCAGGAGCGGAACGTGGAAATTATCAAGCTCGTCGTCAAGGACACGATCGACGACTACATGCTAGAACTGCAGCAGAAGAAGACCCAAGAGATCGAAGGCGCCATTGGAGTGGAGGCTCTTTCGAACAGGTATTGTCACACTCTCTCCACTAGAATTTCCCTTTTTGTTTGTCTATTCAATTCACTTCATTTAACTAACAAACAATTAATTAATTACTAGGGATACCATCCCACATCTCCTCGAGTTGTTCGGCGAGGTGAGCGGGAACGAAAAGGATGGGTTTATCATTATTCCGGATAGGGAACATACTTAGAAAAAAAAAACCAAATAGACGGACGGGATTCTAGCAGATTCATTTGGGAATGATCCCATTTACATACGTACTAGATATCTACATTTCGGGAGTTTTCTAAACGCATATAAAATTCGCTTGCCGGGCTGGGAGGATATAGATGCCACTACATTATGACTCATGCCAATTCTTTCTTTCAAACTAGCTAGTTACATGATTCTGGAGAGGAAAAAAAAATCAATATCAAAGACAGCAACAATGAACAAGGAACTCGGTTAAATAAGTCATCATTGCTCATCACATCACCCATTACTCCGTACCGTACAGTACATATAATCACATCACATGCCCTTTTTTTTTGCCGTTCCCTACCTCCCTACCTAAAACTTTCTTGAGTCTTGACTATAAGTCTTTCAATATGATCAAAAGTCATTATTAACTCAGTGGAAGTTAATAGTTATTTTAATAATAATGTGAAAGGGTAAAAAAAAAAGATCAACATCACATCTCTTCGATGGCGCAGTTTGGGTGCAGAACATAGACGACGGATTGGCTCTGTCCTTGCTGTTGGCCATCCTCGTCCATGAGACCCTCGCCGCGGATTGGCATGAGGATGTTATCCTGTGGTTGTTAAGAGTGCGAGTCAGCTTTGCCTTTTTTTTTTCGTGACAGAGGTGACAGGATGGATGGATGGATGAATTACGAACCTTCACCATACGCTTCAACACCTTGACTGCGAGATCCCGCTCGCGCTCCAGGTCTTCTTCACTGTTCAGCTCTGACTCGATCTGCTCCAGGTACCATACCAGCAGCTCCTCTTGTTCCACGCCCTCGCCGGTCCGAGACTCATCCTCATTCACGCGTCTTACGAGGAGATTCAGAATCTTCATGTACTTGTCATAGGTGATCTTGGTCTTGGGTCGCGATTGTTGTTGCTGCTGCTGCTGGCCTGCACCGTCCTCGCCCTCGTCACGCATAGGACTATCGCCATCGCGATCACGAGCATCAGCCATTTCATCGTCTCCATCATCGCGCCTTCCGGCGGCCTCTTCCTCTTCGTCACCAACATCAACGTCGTCCTTCTCAACAGTGACGATGCTCTGACGGAGGAGATCGTACGCCTCTTGAACGAAGCTGGGAACGATCTCCTCGACACAGTTTGCCTTGGCGACAGCCTCCGACAGTCGGATAAGAGACTCCAGCTGTCGGACAGTAATTCGATAGGAGGAGCGGCCAATACCACCTTGAGCGTCGTTGGCCCTGAGCTCCTTGTATTTCTCTACCAGGAGGGCCTTCGCTTCCTCTGTGAACACAGGCTTGAAAGTCCGTGCGAATCGAATGTACCGCTGCAGTTGCTCGGTGCTGAGCTCTGGCTGAACGGCCTCGTCCCGGTTCATGTGGACATTAACAATGTGTTCCGCTAGGTTGCGGTCTACTGTTTCATTAGGCTCGTCCCTGATCACAAAGAACAAGTCAAATCGACTCATGATCGCTGGGCTGAGGTTGAGATTCGCCCGCAACGTCGCCTTGGGGTTGTATCGACCGCCAACTGGGTTGGCAGCAGCAAGGATGGAAGCGCGCGCATTGAGTGTGGTGTGGATGCCGGCCTTGGCAATCGAGATAGTCTGCTGTTCCATAGCTTCATGGATGGCGACCTGGTCGCTAATGTCCATCTTGTCGAACTCATCAATGGCGCAGATGCCTCCACCATTCTGCAGACTCGTGTCAGTGATGTCGTGTCATTCATAAGGGGGGCATAAGATCTCCAACTTACAGCCAACATCAGGGCACCAGCTTCAATGGTGAACTCGCCAGTTTCCGCATCCTTCACCACGGAAGCAGTCAGACCGGCAGCAGACGACGCCTTTCCGCTAGTGTAAACCGCTCGTGGGTGGAGAGAGCAAATGTACTTCAAAAACTGGCTCTTGCTCGTGGATGGATCACCCACTATGCAGATGTTGATATCGCCACGCAGCTGCATGCCCTCCTGCTCAGTGTTCTTACTCACTCCACCAATCAACTGCAACAGAAGACCCTTCTTTATTTGTCGGTGCCCATAGATCATAGGCGCAATCGAATCCACCAGGCGAGAGTAAATATATTCCGAGTGAACGAGTTTCTTCAAGTCTTGGACCTCAGACGGAGTCATGGTCTGAAGCAGCGTCTCCTGTGCCTTTTCGTCGTCCTCCAAAGGCTGATCAATTTGATTCAAAGAGGCCACTATATTGTGCGACTGGCCGCTCAATTGCTGGTTTGTTGGCTGACCGGGGGTGGTCAAGTCAGGTGTGACCATACAAGCAAGAAATGCTAACCGATAGGTGAGATCCCTGACTCCCAGGGATTTGAGGCCTGTAACACCTCCGCCACCCACATCTCCACCCCGGAAGGCACCATTGTCACGACTCGCCTCAGGTCGTACCCCAGGCAGACCGAGCTGACTGACATCTGGAACCACAATGAGGGTCCCGGTGAAAATGCATTTCTCACCTGCCTTCGCTCTGTCAACCATCTCCCCCCGGACAATGATATCCATTGTGCGCGGCATGCTTCCCGTAGGGATTTCGTGGGACGATTCTTGCAGCTTCACTTTCTGCCAGTCGACAAATGTGCTCTTCCCGATGTCGAGACGCCAACCCGTCCTGTTACCGCAAGTAGGGTTTGGACACTGAGATGGCTCGGTATACTTGAAGGTCTGCTCAACGTTGGCAACCGGAGCCTTGCATGCCTCACAGATGAACGTTCCCAGAGAAAGCTCAGGCGGATTTCCGATGTCCTGGTCACCGTGCCCGAGACGGAGAGCAGCTTGCCGATGTGAGAGGTTCGCAATTGCCGTAACCTGGAAACCAACGGGAGGTTGTAAAATGCCAACGCGAACACTTTGTCTGTCTGCTGGTGCCTCGTCCTGCCTCGAATCGACTTGGCCAACTCTGGATTATCGGACACACTCGCATTGGCCGCCATGACCGAAGAGCTCGGCTGGGAGGAGTTGCTGCTAGCCTGACGGTGAGAGGCAAAGTATTCGGGTTCATACTTGGCGATGAGGTTGTGCAATGCTCGGATCAAGAAAGGGTGGAATCGGTAATACTGATTGGCGATGGCGTCCGCCAGGATCTGGTTATCTGCAGAACTCAGGTGGTTGAAATCCACGTACAGCGTGGAGAGGTTGAATTTCACCATCCCATGAATCTGTGCTATGTAGTACTTGTCGCTGAGGATCTGCGAGGAGGAAGGAGGCGGCGGAGCTGACGACGTAGGCTCCTCCACGTACGTCTCGAGAAAGTCCTCAAAGGCCTGCTGGACCTTCTCTCCGGCCAGGTCGACGACTGGCGGGGGCGCTGAGGCGTATGGATTCCGAAGACGATTCACGGCACCGTTAGGGCCGACGACCTCGTCATCGGGGAAGCCCTGGACGTCGCTCATGGGGCCATTGGTCTCGGAGGTGAGCTGCGGCCGGGAGCTCGACGGTTGATCCGATCGAGGCCATTGTCGTTCACGGCCACCTGCACTGGCGCTCGATCCCAGTTCGGACTGGAGGACAGCGTCGAAAAGAGAAGACATGGTGGGCGCGGGGCCGGGAACAAGCCACGGGGGGCTGTGGTCGTGTTCGCTCAGGAGCGTTGCCTGCAGATGGGTGGGAGGCAGGCGTTTCTTTTCTTCTTCCTTCTTCCTTCTATCCTGTTTTCCTGTAGAAAATGAGGACGGCTGGTGGCAGCGAGCGGTGTGCAGTTGATACAGCAAAATCCGCAACTTCCCTTTGCAGTGCTCGCTGGCTGCGACGCGACCAGGACGCGCGACGCGTCGGAGAAACGTAGGGCCGGCGTTCACGCGTTAAGTGGTTTGGGTGCACTGCACTTGCCTGATCGGGCAACCCGGAGATCGTCCGGGCCGGCATGACTGGCTGCTGCCGAGTTCCCGGAGGGCAGTGGCCCGTGCAGCAGCAGCCCTCCGCCGCGGCCAACTGGCGGCCGTCTTGGCTGTTGGCTCGTCTGACAATGCCATTTGCGGTAAACGGTCGAGTCGCGGCAGGTCGAGCGCATCCTCCAAGGGAGCATCCTGCGGCGCGCCGACTGGCTGGCAGTGGCTGCTGGCTGCTGCCCAGACGCATCGTGCGCCGGGATTTGGCGCGGATGCCCAGAGTCCGGGGACGACGGCCAATGGGCGTGCCCCTCCTCACGCGCTTATGCTGCGCTTATGCTGCGCTCTGCGGACCAGACACCGCAGCGGGTCTGTGTTGCTCAGATCTACCGTTAGTTTAGGAGGCTCGATTCCTGCGTTTATATATCGGTTTTAACGGCGCGGAGGCCCGCAGCAATGATTGCTTGCATCGTCCTCCTGAGTCCTGGCATACCAATTTGTCCCTGGGACCCTGTCAGATGACGGCTGGCCCTGCTGTCGTCTAGGGTGCTTGGGCCAGATGCCTCGCGGGGTTTGGATGGCCATCGGTGCTGACATTGTCGAGGGACCAAGGGCCTCTTCGCATACTGGAGAAACGCCAAGTATTTGAACATGGTCATCAGCTCGGAAAATTCCTCCTCAAGTCTACACGCACACCGACCGTCCATGATGGAGGCGTCGATTCTGCCTCCCGCGCCTGCGCCTTCGACCAAAGGTCTGTTTGCATCATCATCATCATCATCATCATTCTCCATAGAAGGAAAAAGAGGGCAGCATGCTTACTTTGCGGACACAGAAGGCCCCAATGATGGACTCATGGCTACGAAACAGTCCAAATCCAGAAAGCGCTCTGCAGTCTCCACAGGACCCGTCCAGACTCAGGAGTTTTTCTTTGTCGATTCAGCTTCGTCGACGAGGGAAAAACGCGCCCATGTGATGCGACATCATATTCAGACAAAACGGAGGCAGCATATGCTGGCCAACCATGCAGATCGACAGCTCAGTCGAGGTCCTCGGTACCTTCCTTGGCGTAAAAAGTCCGACGCAGATGCTCAGGCTGCTGGCGAGGTGTCTTCCACGAGACACATGAGTCCCCAGGACGATAGTTCGGTATGATCTCAGCATTCCCGCCATCTTTATTTTCTTTTTGTATTTCCCTCCCTTTTTTATGATGTTGATAATTTTTACCCTCCCCCTCGTTTTACTGTCGCATAATTTTGATAAATGACGGTGTCTTGAATTGAATCCCGTTTATGGAACTAACTTGTTACATCGGAGTTTCAGGGAAGTGATGCGTCGACATCAGCTTCTCGACCGGAGACTGTGGACTCTCGTCACTCCCTAGTTCCCATTCCAGGACCAGTGACGATGCTGAGCGCCTCAAGAAAGGACCCTTTTGAAACGCTTCCAGTTCAACTTGGTCCCCAGGAATATGAATTAGCAGATTACTGGACATCCCGATTGAGCTATTGGTCGGGTCCGAATACCTACATGAAAACCAGGGCCTTTCAGGCGGCAATGCGCCATGTCACTACCTTTCAGGCCATGATCCTTGGCTATTGCGCTAGGTGGAAAGCACAGCTGTATGACATTCGTGACGACGCTTTGGTTTCGTTCTACACCGCGCAAGCGGAGCAAGCTGTGAACAATCCAAAGCAGGACGGCGCCAGGCTCGACGAAGATAGCTTGGCGCTGGCTTTGACCGGCTTGACGTTACAGGAAGAGCGCTTTGGCAGCAAGCAAAAAGCCGATGACTATGCACAGAGAGCTGTTCAGCTCGTGCGACCACGGACAGGATCGAACCGTTTGATCGAAACCGTACTGCTCTACATCCTGTACAACATGACCCCACGGCCGCCGAAAATCACTGAAGATGCCGCGCGATGGCTCGTCACTTTTCTGCGCAGCGCGGAAAAGTTGATGGCAGAACACAACACCACACATTTCCTCTCGCTTGTTCCTCAGCGCGCGACTGCATTTCAATTTGGGAGTCCACTGTACACACTGCTTTCGAGTGGACCCCACCCTACCCCGGTTCCTAGTGACAAGCATCGTTATGTTATAAACAAGAATACCCCGACGATGGAATGGTCTCGTACCGCGTCTCTAATTTACATCACGACGGCCCTTTGGGATTATCAAGAGACACCCAGCAAAACCGCGCGCTTCCTGGACCATTTGGCTAAGGTGGTTGAGCAGCACGACCTCCATCGCCACCCCGCCTGTGAATCCTTTGTATGGTTGCTATTGGAGGAAGGTTATGAAGCGGACATGCGGGTGCCCGAACGGGCCTGGTCCACGCGCGAGCTCTTGGCGATGCATAAGATGCTGCCCGGGGACCTGCAGTTTCGCTTCAGTGAGATCCTCCTGGCATACTTGATGCTTACTCCACCAATCAGTGGGGTGGCGTCTTTTGAACGAGATTTATATGCAGCCATAACCTGAAAAATTACGGTCTTGGCATCCCTTGTTAGGAAATCTCCAACGACCAAATTCCTCCAACTGCTGAGATTCTTGGCAGCCAAAATCACCAGTCTCCGGCCTTGCAAGGCGCCTGATCCGCAGTCGGTGACCGACATATTGCCGTCGACATGCGGTTGGGAGCGAAATGAAGATGAGATGGACAGCACCAATCCGGCGTTATGGGCTCTGCTGTTGCTGCTGCAGTGCGCCACAACCCTCCTCCAATTTTAGAAATCTTTTGTTTTTATTTCCTTCTTGTTCTTCTTTTTTTTTCCGGGCCGGGTGTACTGAGGAAAAGTCAAGAATCGCCGTGTTCCAAGAACTCGGTTCAGCAGGTGGATTCAACTGACAACAACGCTCTTGGGAAATAAACCAACCAACCACTAAAGACCCTTGTATGCAGATGCTGCAAGTGCCATCACCTGACATGGGGGATGACAGCTCGGGATCTGAACATTTCTGGAATGTTGCGGCCCCTGCGTTGAACCAATGCATGACTGGATGGACTTGATTAGGTCATCATCTGGGAGCGGTGGCATGTTAAAATTCAGGGTTGCTGTGGTGGTTTGCTTAAGTGTTCACAATCCAGAGCGTTTAGCAGAACTTACTTGGTATATTAGACGCCAAGTAAGAAGTTGTCGAGCCTCTCCGCGTCACAGTGAAAAAAGAGAGCCGTTGGAAGGATGGCCGCTTATATGTATGTATATGTACAGTACATTACTTGCTTATTGACAAGATTGGGCTTTGGAATCTTGATATAGTTAGACCGTACACGTGTAACATTGTCTTGGTTGTCCTTAAGTAGGCTGTAGCACGTTGACAATGGTGGATGTAACACCTCCAAAAAGCCCTTGCCAACGCTACTGATTTAGTAGTCATCGAGGCCGCATAGAGTATGGAGTATGCAGAAATAAATTCTCGGTGTCTGTCCACCGAATCATGGGGAATGCAGAACACGAGAGACGTCCGGGGGAATTTGGGGCGCACTTAGTACTCCGTAGATGTCGTGGCAAAATGGCAAGCACGCTGCACGCGTGACCAAAGAAAGATGGTTGGAAGACGCACCTAGCGGCCCCAACGTACCTAAAACCAAAGCTTCGCCTGGGGCCTTGCTTCGTACTCCGTACGGAGTACTATTACGCCGTATCATCACTGCTGCTGATCGCGTCAGCACCATATCGGGGCCTGCCAATCATGCCCGATCTGTCCTCGAACTAAGCTTCGTTCCCCCACATGCATGTCCTACCGCGATCTTGAAGACACGATCTCTAGTTCGCAAATCGCAATACTCCGTTCGGCCGCAAGGGAGATGGCGGTGGAGCGAATCCGCTGGTCGAGCAGCACTAACCAGGTCGCCGTATGACTATCGACTGCGCTATCTTAGGTACCTACCTAAGCTATTACCACCTACCTTGGTCCATGGGCCTCAGAGCGAATTCGCCACCAAAGAAACAAAGGGGGTAAAAAAGAGGAGCAAGAAAATAATATTCAAGGCGAGAACATCAAGAACGCTATCACGTTTATTCTCCTATAAACACGTCCTAAGCCCTCTACAGAGTACGGAGTACAATCCAGACAAGTTGTTAACACTTGCATGTGCACGATAGTTCGTTCCAGTGGAGACTAGGGACTGCTAAGTTGGCCGATGCAGAGTCGATCCCACGCCCAGGGGAATTGGCCTCGATGGAATTTGGAATTATTGGGAAACCGTCCGCATGCGGAATGGGCAAGTGTGGCGAGTGAGCAGCGTGTCTCGAGCCCGGTGGCTGGTGCGGCTTGGCTTGACTCCATGTGACCGCCTGCTGTGGCTTTCGGGGTCTCCGATCACCAGGGAAATGGCAGCAAGAATCCTTCCCCTTCCCAATAATGCAGGAGCTGACAACAATCACTGCTACCTAGAGCCTTGGAAGATCATTAGAGACTTTAGCGAGTTGCACCGCGCCAGCGCCACATGTGGCGGTGCAGAGGTTTTAGCGAGCGCAGCATCCACGGTCTGGAAGCTCAATTGTCCACCAACTATATTCCTGCCAGCCAATAAGGTGGAACTTCCACCGCGGGATGACGACTCCAACGAGGATGAATGGGTGTTGGATGAGTAGTCTGTCGGTGAGTGCTGCAGAGTGCCGGTGGTTTGGACCGACGGATCTCTTGGCCCTGGTTGGGCTGGCCCGCTAAGATCTTCTGTTGCAGCAAGGTTTGGCCCGATATGGTCTCGAGCCCTAGCCTCGATGATGATGATGTCGACACCCACCCCTGCCTTGAATTGTCGATGCCCAGCTGTCGATTCATGAAGAGGAGATATAATATAATTGTTCATCGATTACACAATGGACCCCGCTATCATGGCGTCGGACAGTGCGCCATACATGTATGTCAGCTGGGCTGTCCTGGACGCGTGTGGCTTGCGAACGAGTCTCGGCATCCCAAACATACTTTGCTTGGCCGACAGGATCGACAACAACCTTAGCTTCAATTCTAGCAATCTAGCCACTAAAACTGCCCGGGGGAACGAGCCGTGTCCATTCTTGAGATATCTCCACGGCCCCTCCCATTCTTAATTGTCTTCAGCAGGCGTCTTTTGCTCGCCTGTATTTTTCCTCGCCATCCCACATCGCTCAATTCTTCTCTGCTGGCCCCCTGTATCGGCCAGTTCAGCAACTGAGGGCTATTTCCTCCAAAGACTCTGCCGGAGAAGGAGACTCAGTGCTGGGAATCCCGCCATTTTCTTCTATCCGGCATTGCGTGAGAGTGCGTGAAAATCTGTCGCGCACGATGGCGCTGGCGAAGAATGGCCTTCGGGGCCTCAAGATGATCGTGGCTCGAGACGATGTAGGTACTAAATTTTTTACACATTTGGCTTGCGATTCATTCATCCATTGCCATTGCGAGATTGCGCTGGCTTCAAATGAGGGAGAAAAAAAAGGAAACATCGCAAGACAAAAGAAGGCAGACAAGATGATTTAATACAGAAAATTGGGATGCAATTTGCTGACTTCGAGTTCTCCTCTTTTAGAGTAACCCGCAAGATGCCCCGAACTCCGCGTCGGGCCTTGTCTCGACATTGGTTCCCTCCATTATTGTTGCTGCAGCCATGATCCTGGCTTTTATCATCCTCCGTCGCAGGGAGCGCAGGCAATACATGCCCCGAACGTACATGGGGAGTCTACGACCAACTGAGCGCACCCCAGAGTCACCCACGGGCCTCTTCAACTGGATTCGAGCAATGTATAAGTTGCCAGATACTTATGTGCTGCAGCACCACTCTCTCGACGCGTACTTGCTCCTCCGCTACCTCAAGGTGATTACCGTCATGTGCTTTGTTGGCTGTCTGATCACCTGGCCAGTTTTGTTCCCCGTCAATGCCACGGGTGGTGCAGGTCTCAAGCAGCTTGACATTCTGACCATTTCCAACAACCTGCACTTTTCTCGATACTTTGCACATGCATTCATCGCGTGGATCTTTATTGGTTAGTGAAATGACTTTTTGCTTGTGCTCTCTAAGAAAGATCTGTTTTGCTTCGTACTGTGCTAACTAGCATGGCTGCAGGCTTCATTTTCTTCCTCATCACCAGGGAAAGCATCTACTACATCAATCTTCGCCAGGCGTATGCCTTGTCTCCAGCCTATGCCAACCGCATGTCCTCGCGGACGGTTCTCTTCACGGCCGTGTCGAAAGAGTACCTGAATGAAAGCAAGATTCGTCGCCTCTTTGGTAACGACAAAGTCAAGAACGTCTGGATGGCCACCGACACGAGCAAGCTCGAAGAGAAGGTCCAAGAGAGAGAGGATGCGGCGATGAAGCTGGAAGGTGCCGAAATTGAGCTGATTAAAAAGGCCAATGGCGCTCGTCTCAAGGCTTTGAAGAAGAATGACGAAGAGGCTCGCCAGCAGGACACCACCGCTGCCGATGATGAATCTGGTTCGGTCGCGGCGCGTTGGATAAAACCCAAGGACCGTCCTACCCATCGGTTGAAATTCCTCATTGGAAAAAAGGTCGACACCATCAACTGGGCCAGGGCCGAAATCGAGCGTCTGACGCCCGAGATCGAAGAACTGCAAGCCAAGCACCGTGCTGGAGACGCCAAGCTGGTTTCCTCCGTCTTTGTGGAATTCTACAGCCAGTACGAGGCGCAGGCCGCCTACCAAGCGGGTATGTCGTGTTTCTCCCACATCATCGACTGCCTCTGCAGGCTCCCTTATAGCTAACCTTCTTGCAGTTACCCACAACCTTCCCCTTCACATGAGCCCCCGTTATATTGGCATCGATCCGACTCAGGTCATCTGGTCCAACCTTCGCATTATGTGGTGGGAACGGGTCGTGCGCCACTTTGCGACAATCGCTTTCGTTGTGGCTCTCATTGTTTTCTGGGCTATTCCCACCTCTGTTGTCGGTGCCATTTCCAACATCAACTATCTCACCCATATAGTCCCATTCCTTAACTTCATTAACAACATGCCACCGGTGATTCTGGGTGTCATCACGGGCTTACTTCCCTCGGTTCTGATGTCTGTGCTGATGGCACTCGTGCCGATCGTCATGCGGTGTAAGTGGAAATGTTTATCCTTTTCTCTTTTCTCCTCATTGACTGACCACTTTGGGGCAGTGATGGCGAAATGGGGCGGAGCGCCTACCATGGCCGCAGTGGAGTTGTGGACACAGAATGCCTACTTCGGCTTCCAGGTGGTCCAGGTCTTCATCGTGGTGACTCTTACTTCGGCAGCATCAAGTGTTGTGCGGTCTATCATCGATAACCCCCAGTCAGCAGCATTAATGCTGGCGCAACATCTTCCCAAGGCCTCCAACTTCTACATCTCCTACATCATCTTGCAAGGCTTGACCTTCACCTCTGGTGCTCTTCTTCAAATCACTGGCCTGATTTTGGGAAAGATCCTGGGCATGATTCTGGACAACTCTCCACGGAAGATGTATAACCGCTGGTCGTCTCTTGCTGACTTGGGCTGGGGAACCGTCTTGCCGCCCATGTCGTTGCTGGCTGTGATTGCGATCACCTACGCGTGTATCGCACCTCTGGTTCTCGGGTTTGCCACCATTGGTCTGTATCTGTTCTATTTCGCCTTCCGCTACAACCTCCTCTACGTGTCCAACTCCCAGATCGACACGCAGGGCCAGATCTACCCTCGTGCGCTCCAGCACCTTACAGTAGGATGTTACCTTTCGATTCTCTGCCTCATCGGTCTGTTCGCCATTGGATCGGGTGCTGAGCGGATCGCTCTGGGACCACTGATCCTGATGGTGATATTCCTGGTCTTTGTTGTTTTGTATCACGTGTCGCTGAACCGCGCCCTCGAGCCTCTCATCAAGTATATTCCCAAGAACTTGGAGAGCGAGGAGGAGGCACTGCTCAGCCAGACACGCACCAAGCTCAGTCACGCCACTACCGATGAATCCAACACCCTTGTCCAGGGCAGCTCCACGAGAAACGAGCCGTCAAAGGACGAGGTCGACACTGCGGAGAAAGGTCTGCCAGCACCGACGGTCCTGCCAGCTGTGCCGGAGAAGAAGCCCAACCTATTCGCGAAATTCTTCCGCCCGGACAAGTACACCGACTACGCGACTCTGCGCCGTCTCGTCTATTCCGAAGCGGAAGCGCCCACGTATCCGCCCGAGGTGGAACGCGACGCCTACTTCCACCCAGCGATCAGGGCCCAGTTGCCGCTGCTCTGGATTCCTCGCGACGAGGGCGGCGTGAGCAAGCAGGAAGTGGCGCACAGCTCGCGCGTCATCCCGATCACGGACGAGGACGCCTGGCTGGACGAGAAGAACAAACTCCACTGGAACGAGGAGAACGGTCGGCCGCCGATCTACGAGGAGAAGATCTACTACTGATAAAGCAGTCGAGTCTTGGACGAGATTTACGCACAGAAAAACTTTCTATATATACACGTCACATGATCTGGTTGACTTTAATAATGCCTATGCTTTGTTTATTATAACCGTTATACTTGGAACGAATTGGGTATAATAATGATGATGATGGGGAGAGAGAAATAATCTGATACCCATATTTATTTACTACTTGGTCAGTGAAGTTCATCATCTACGAACTTTACGGCTCACTAATATTTGGTTTGGTTTTCTTACGATCCATCTACTCAATCAACTGCGATGGTGATGGAATCTATCATGATATGTATTTTGTTTTCAACTAATTAATTCGATATGCAGTTCCTCACTTTATCTATCAAAATAATCTATCTATCCAGCTAGCTAGCTTAGGTAGCTATCTACCATTTCTGATCGATCGATCGATTGATCGATCACCAACGTTGAATGAGAATAAATCGAAGTTAAATCGAATTCGTTCATTAGTTTGATAATGTAATAATAATAAGTATACGAATGTATGTATGTATGTATATGTGGCCATGAAAATTCCTTTTTATTTTTATTTTTTTAAAAAAAGGTCACTCTCAAAGAGCTTTTTGTTATGTTATGTTAGGAAGACTTCTTTTGATTGGTTGGTTGGTCGGGTCAGCCCTAAAAGTAATAAAAGCCCTACTTAAATTTTATCAATTTACCCGATAAAGTAACTAAGTTGATCAAATGATCAAATGATCAAACCAATTCAATCACAATCATGGGTTGAGGTCAACCCTAGTGTACACTGCCTATATGTAATGGCATTTCAGCATCAATAACGTAGCTAGCTAAGTGGCTAGCTAATTAGAGTAATTTTTTTTAAAAAAAAACTTGAAAGAGAACTGAGCAGGTCTGGACTGGACTGGGCAGGACTGGATAGGGTAGGACAATTAGATCAAATCGAATCAAATCGAATAATAGAATTTTCAAATGCAAAAAAAGAACATGTACATCATTGAACTAGTTGATTGGACATACATGCTCATTAATGTGTTGTTAAGTACATACATCATAAGTCTGTCTGTTCGTCAGTCGTTACTGTCCTCGAAATTTTTTTTTGCCTTTCACTTTTTTTTTTAAATTTTTGGTGCGTCTCTTTATTTCTGGAAATGCTATCATTGAAAAATTGAGAATGAATAAGTTCGTATTCCTACCCTCGTCTCTTTTTTTTCCTCTTCAACCTTCACTAGTACCCTACTTCATCAACTTCCAACGTCAACTTACCCTACCTGTACGGATGCACTTCCTTTCCCTGGACAATTCTTGCCGAGACGTCTCATACATGCTCAGTAAAAGTCGTCCTCAGCGCGGGTGACTCTGCATAGGGACTCCGCGACCGTATGTGTAGCGACTGCGATAGCCACGATTTCTTCCACGATATGGATAGTTATCGCGATTGCTGCCGCCATGGTCATTGTCATCGTGGCTGTCACTGCGATAGGTACCTCGATAGCCGTGGCCACTGTGGCCGCGACGCCGACCACCCCGAGTACCATTGTTGGCGTTGCGACCGTATATGCGGATACTATGAGTTGGAGTGTCGACACCGGTGTCAGTGCCAGAACCAGTATCGTTGTCATTATTGTTGTCGCTTTCACCAACTCTCCCACCTGCATTGTCCAGTGGAAGTGACACGGCCGGGCGAACAAGTCCTCCTCCCCCAGCAGATTGGAACGGCGGAGGGGATGATGAGTTATTCGCATGAGGCTGCGGGCCTGCGACTGCAAGCTCTCCTCCATTATTATGCCCAAGGTCGGGAGCACGTTGACGAGCAGAGAACACGCGATTGGGCTGTTCTTGTCCCTGCTGCTGTTCTTCACTGCCATCTCGTTCAAGGACTTCCCGGTCGTCATCGTCGCGATGAAGAAGATGATTGCGAGGACTCTGCTGCTGAGAATCACGATGTTGGTTAGGGCTACCAAAGTCCAACGGCCCGGGAACTCGCAGCTCTCTTAACGGAAAAGCGCTTCGGGGATCGAACGCCAAGGGCGACTCGCTAGATGAACGGGGGCTGGTACGAACCCTGGTCTCTGCAGCGGGACGAGTAGTGTTATCGCGTGTGGTCTGTTCCTCTCCCTCTTCGTTAGCGTCTCTTTCAACCATGTTCTCTTTCTCGTCGTCGCTGGAGGAAGACGACGAGTGCCGGGTGGTGCCCAGTCCTGCCGGTTCTGAGTTTGGATTCCCCGGCTTGGGATCTTCGTAGATCTTAAATTGGGCAATTCGATTGCGACGTCTTCGACCAACTCTCGGCGGTTGCCATCCGTGATGGTCTTCAAGCAGAGAAGTAGAAATTTCGACACCCCAAGAACCACTTGACGGGGGCCTCGCCCTTGCCGGTGGAGTAGCAATGGGGCTCGGCGGCGATGAAGAGGGCAATGGAGCTGGCATTGGCAGCTGTTCCAGGAACCGTTCAGCATTTTCACGAGCCACCTCATCAGACGTTGGGCAGTCTAGATCAACTTGGGCTTCAGACTTGACCCTCTTTGGTGGGGGCGGCATCAGTTGGAAACCGTCATCAACATCTGCAGTCTCTTCGATCATCAGTGTACGGCGTTGGCCTGTTCCCTCGGCATTGTCACGACAAGGCTCTTTGTTTGTCGTCTGCGGTTCTTCACGCTCGTTTGAAGAAGCAGTTGGCGCCATGGGAGCTTCCGATTGACTAGATCCAGCAGCCTATAAAATACATCTATTAGCAGGATGTCTTTGACCACAGTGTACGCAGATATGCAATTGTATTTCCCTACATGATGTTCAATGTCTAGGCAGAGCTGCAGGTCTGCTTCCTCCATGATGGTATGAGGTCGAAAGGCGAGATGCCACAGCTGTCAGCATCGAACACGTCAGCATATCTGTCTGCAAACCAAGTCTGCCAAGCGAGATAACGTAGTATCCAAAAGAGCTTATATCAAAATAACTTGCTTTCATGAGCCAGTTGACTATCATGGTCAGGGAATCGCAATTTGGATCGCTTCTCCTGTAGTCTGTCAGCTTCGAGTCGTATGGAGACGGCCATTGCGGGATAATCCAGGACGACTGTGGTAAAAGACTTGGTTGACAACCGGGATAGTCACTTACTGTCAAATTTATCCTGTACAACGTCTTGCTGGAGTTTTGGTTGCGCTCTTCCTCCTGACTTCCTCCAGATGAAGCCTTGAACAAGAACTCGTGTTTGGGACGTACCTCTTATGTTGTCGTTCCGACCTGTGCGTACGATTTTCTGAAAAGAGCAAGATGTCTGCACGATGTCGCTGTAGCGGCAGAGAGATCAAGAACAGGATAAGTGATGGAGACGGCATTCACGGCGCCAAGAGAGAAAGGATGGCAGCACGCTGAGATAAGGAGATAGACTGCGGCGATCGATAGGAAAAGGGAAGCACTTGCCTGAAATGGGACAGCAATAGAATCGCTGATACAGTTGATTGTCTTTGGTTGATAGGAGTGAAGATGTTCTCGACCAGAAGAGGGAAGGACTGGGCGGTATCAGGTGAGTCAAGGAACTCACTCAAGTGGGCTGAGTCACTGGTAGGGACAACGTCACCACCGCAGGGGTATATGTGGATTCACAGGGCTGGTTCCCAGCTGCTCTGGTCGTGAATTTCAGAATATGTGAGGCTCCTTAGAACAGCCTGCATAGTAGCAGCTCAGAAGCATCCATCGCACCTGACACAGCACGACAAAACTTGCAAACATCTGCCATTCAACCACCAGAAAACTGGAAGATATGTGACTGAGTAAAATGCTTCATCTCGCTCTCGATTAAGGACTGAATTGGTAAACAGATTCTATACCAGCGTGTAGCTAGGATAGCAACACGGAAATAGATGCAGAAGAATGGATTGACATATATCCAAAAACAAAATCAGCACAAGCCTGACAGTCTCGTTTCGCTGACTGATTTAAAGAGAAAATACCTGGTCTATACCAAGGGCTTTCTACTATATAGTCTTTATTATCAACTTCTCTGGTCTCTCCCACATATATTCCAGGTAATTAGGTTGTATAGCAATCTAGCTGTACGTCGTAGTCGACATCTTCTGCCTGCAACCCCCAAATAATAAGAAGCTCGCATACACTATGGGAAACTTGCGTAGATGGCAATACAGGACAGCAAAACATGTTATAGAATCTAGTGTCCCTCAAAGGGTATAGTAGATGGAGATCGTGTGAATGCTTGGCATCAGATAAATGTTCCCATGTCGCGCGAGAAAACTCAGCGCAATAAAAAGCAAGATTTATTTCAGAAGAAGGGGTATAACTGCAGGATATATATCTATCTCAGGTGACGAGGAAGGGGATAAGAAAGCAATTACCAGATTTAGTGAAAGGAAATCTGGTCAATATAGCGATCAAATATTGATGTTCAGAGAAGTTTTTAACAGTAATTAGGTACCTAGGCAGTTGATATCTATTTATTCCTTGGTATCGATGCCCAGGAGACTTCTATCAGCTCAGCTATAGGCTATAGCAAGAACAGCTTTACCTACCTATGCACATGGTACTTCTCAATCCAGCTGGACGACAGCACATGATGATGTCGATCTATCAGTACTAAGCTTGGACCTCCATATCGCCATTGTCATCGTTTCTAAGCATACTGTGTCTTGTCTTCGAAGCGCTGCAGGAGATCTATCTTTTCGAGAAAAAAAAAAGAGAGAATAACGAAATTCCAGTACGGTTCACGTGCTTTTAAGATGAAGATGTGCGTTCGATTTGGAATTCTCCTCGTGTTTGTTTGGAGGGGGTATCGAGATAAATGCGTCCGTCCATTTGCCAAGGTTTGGGTTTGTTCGGGACGAGACCGTTCGGCCAAACAACACTCTGAGCGTGCAGATTGCTATTTTTCCGACTTTGGAGAATAATGGCAAGTTGGAATGAAGTCTGGTTTAGATTTATCTGGATCCATGTAAGTTTTTTTTTCTTTCTTTTTCGTTCAAAATGATGATCCCACCCTACTCAGCTTCTAAGTATGAAATGAAAATAATATGTAATCGCCAGTCTTGGCACGTGTTACATCTTAAGACCTGCATTTATAAGAATTTTATAGAAAACTCCGCGTTAAGGAGAAATCTTTAAGTAATGCACTAATAGTATCAAGAGAAGAAAGAGATGACGACAATTTAACGTAGCTTTTTTTGTTCTCCCAATTAAACCAATCCACATGGTTGGTTGCCGGACAAATACAAGTACTGAGCAACTACGTCACTATATATATATAGACTTAAATGAAGTAGTTTAAATTTAGTTGACTACTAAACAAGCAGAACGAAGGAAAAAATACTTGTATGCATCGAATAATAAGAGTAATCGCCTAAGTCCAGGTATACCGTACGGAACTTCTCTTTCTCCCAAGACGACTAAGAAATGAAAAGGACTCGAACTTCAATACAAGCGTCCAGGGTTAACTTAGGCATTTCACAAAGACCAAGTCGAACAAATGCGTGTCTGTAAGCATGTATCTGTACTATACATACAGGCAACAACAACGACAGCAATTCAATTTAATTACTTCGTTAGTATCAATAAATAAACAATAACAACACCCATCTACTCCTTGCCTATGTATTATTAACTACACGTACATACCTGCCAACCCTTCCAAGACTGTTCCAGGGTAATATCACCCGAAAAGGAATGGAGAGGCTTCCACGGAGAATACCTGATTGGACCGCCCCCATCTGGACGTAACAGGTCATGCAGACGCCACGATCTGAGGTCATTTTTTACGGAGTATTATTATTGTTGCCCAGACTGCAGGCACGCAGGCAGACGGAGGGAGTTCGAGAATTTTTTTTCTTGAAAAGTACGAAGCTCCGTACTACTGTGTATTAGACAACTGTCGCTCTCTGTTTGATCTGTTGCTGTAATTCCTGAATCAATCGCTTGCACTATAAGGCCTCATGAATTCATTTGTACAGAGGAGGCTGCATTTATTTTGATTCATCAATGTCGTTTCTTTCTTTCTTTTTTTTTAAAAAAATAGATACTGTGCGTGTGCAGTATGGAAAAAATTATTTTTACCACTAGAACAGATCTTTAACCATAGGCTAAGAATGAGTTTCTCCCATGGCAAAGATATTTAATTCATTATTCCTTTTTTTATAAGAGTAAGGACACTGGAAATAATAAGAGTGATGATGATACGGAGTAACAGTAATATTATTAATATCAGACCGTGATCGAGAAACAAGATTGTCCTTATCTCATTTAGAATTCAGACTAATTAATTAATGAATCATGATCAATCATCAGACTGAAAAGAGCAAAAAAAAATACTCCGTAGATCAGCTATAATAAAGAATATTAAATGCCTCTTACTCCGTAATCGATCACGCTGTCAATACGGAGTACTCTGTAACTATTAAAATAATCCTGCCGTGTACAAAAAATACAAACTAACAATTAAAAAAAATCATCAAAATTCGTAATTTGCTGTTCTCAAGTGGGGAAAAAAATCGGGTCCTCGTGCGGAGATCATACCCGCCACGTAAACCGACCGACCAACCAGCGCGCATGATCGGCGGGTTCCCAAATATCAGACCTGTGCTAGTACTTGAGACTTAACACTTACCAACGGAGAACGGAGTACCTACGGAAGAACTGCCCCGTTTGCCGTCTCATTTATTACTACTTATTTAGAATAAATAATTAGGTAGGCTCCGCAAAAGGGTGTTCGTTGTCATGTTGAGCTCATTATTACTTTTTATTTAAGGCAGCTCTATTATTACTCGCTCTCGTGTCTCGCCGAAGCTATCATGTAATCAATCAATCAGTCTGGCAGGACTTATTACCCTTTCAGGATGATAGATAGAGAGCATATAGAATTTTTTTTTTACAGTTACAAAGCTTTGAATTCAAGACAACCTGTGCGGAGTATACGAGGATGAAGCTGGTGGCTCTGCAATAAGACTCTCCTTCAAAGAGTGCCCCTCACAGATTTTTACCAAGACATCAGCTACCCGATTAGGAAATGCAAGATCAACTCCATCGCTCGAATTCACTATTATATTCACTCTTTTGCCTTGTATTCTTTGATCATTTGTACGATTCTTATTGGTGGATAAAAGTGTTTTTTTACCAGTCTGGTTCCACGTTCCAGGCTCCAACCACGGACCCTGACTAGGAAAATTCCAATTTATTCACTGTATCTGCCTAAGTGAATATCGTCTCCAAGTTTTCTTTTCTTTTCTTTTCTCTTTTCTATTCTATTCCTTTTTTCCTCCTCTTACTCATCTGCTGTTTGCCACAGAGTTGGTCTTTCGCGACAAGGTTGATATCATGTATGATCCTCGCGTTGCTTGCAGAGTTCCCAGACCTCCGTCGGATCACACGAGGACGCCATCCTGACGCAGACACGGAGCACCACCCTGCCGGCAAATTGTACAGTACACGCGGACGCCTCTGATGCAGTCACAGCGGCATCCAACTCAAGCCCGCGAAGTCATCCACACAGTGGGCCCGCTTTGCCGTTCCAAGATTCTGAAGAGATATCTGATCGCTGTGACGGAACTCCTGATCTGACTTCTTTAATTAAAGCCTTCTTCTTATTGCACAGGTTGATGCCGATGAAATTTTTCCTCGTGTTCGGAACATTCGATTACAGCTATCTACGATATCTCAAGGGAAATAGCACCGAAATCGAAGAGCTTTTCTTGTGATGGAGGAATATGGCCCCTACTATTAATATAACAAATTCCGACGAGATCAGAAGAAAGGTTGCTGAAGAGATGCCAGCTCGCCGTAGGCGCATTGAATGGCCGACGATGGACAATGATATCCGTATCTTTCTTGACGAAAACAAGGCCCCTCCTCCTCAAACAAACATATCTCCAAAAACAAAGAACGTGATTGATGGCGGGATATCTAAATGTGATACCCGTCAAGGTTTGGTGGTGCCGGATTTGGCGGTCGTCTATGATCAACTTTACGTGAACTATCCAAATTGGCGCAACATCTTACGGAACCTGGACTGGCGTGCTCGCCGCCAGTCGGCAATCTGGGACGTCTTTGAGTTGCTTCTGGACAGAGGGCTTCTTCACCCGAAATGCTTATGTGTCCCCGTGGACTTGACGAGTACCCCAAGGGATACCGGCATTTTGACGATGCTCCTTGGATGCTTTTCTTTCATTACACGAGATAGTGATCTCATCTTTGAGGGTGGGATTTCTCTCCAGCATGCCGACTGGCTAGAGGATGTTAAGTGGTAGGTGTTCTTCTCCATACATATATCAGTTAGACGCTAATCGGACTGGCAATAGGCTCGCAACCATGATTGTACGATGCGGGGTTGAGTTGGACAAGCTCATTGAGACGATCCACACCAGTGGTTTCCTTGGCGAGTGCGACATGGAGGAATTAGCCAGCTTCAAAGCGGAACATCCGAACTTGGTCGTGACGCAGAACATGCGGGAGCGCGAGGGCACACTTGGGCAAGACGGGAGTGTCGACCCAGTCAAGAATCACTTTTGGTTTCTGGCTGCCGCATGGACTGAACGGGGAGGACGAGGAGATGTTCGTCTCGAAGCTTCGCGGATGCAAGAATCGGTTCAACGCGATCGAGGAAGCTTTTTGCGAGATGGAGGGCATTCCTCGGGAGAAGGTCTGGCTGGATTTCGTAGATTTCTAAAATGCTGCTTGATACAAATAAACTCGATCGACTGTATTGAACCGCGAAAACAGAATAGAAGAAGAATTGGCTTGTGCACGCATGCATTACAAGACTATATATATTTACGCTAATGCTCCAGTCATAACTGGACAAACCTGGGATAGACAGGTACCTAGTAGGTACCTAAGGTATCTGTTGTGCTAGCCTAGGTTAGAAAGGTTGGAAATAAATCATCATGGGTCACGGGTGTGATCAGGCCGGAAAGGCCACGAAAATCGACACAAAAAAAAAAGCCAGGCTCTCCACGCCATTTCCGCCGTCACCTCGAGTTACTCTGTACTCTGTACATACAGTACTCCGCAGTATTAAAGGCATTAATTCTTGCGGTCGCTGCTACTCGCGTAATGGAACACCGGATTGGACGAAAATAATAAACTGTCACCTGCATGCTGCATGCTGGCGAACAGTGACTGGTGGGCACAACTGCAATACTGCATCCGCCGACCGCCGCGCCCCACCAATGGCGATGCACAGTGCAGCCGGCATTAATTAATGACAACCTGAGCCTGGCCGATTATTATCCTGGGGCTCTTTTCTTGGTCACTGGTCACTGTCAGTCTGGCTTGTTACACGCATGCCCATACGGAGTAATACTCCGTACTCAGGCCTTGGGCAGGCTGAGTCCTAACAAGCTGGCAGGCTAAGTATCAGCCTTAGGCCTCTAGCCTTAAAAGGCAGTAGGTGAGAAGTCAGTGAATTTTTTTCCAGTCTTGCGGAGTATATATATATATATATATATATATATGTCAGCTGCATTACAGAGACCGGTATGAGACTACGAGTACATACTCCGTAGTATATATTATTCACATTGAGTAGGACTCTTTCCAAAATCAGATAATTATCGAAAATAATAGCTTTAATAATACCTCTGACTCGGTGCTGTCATAGCCTATAGGTGATGGTGACTGGTCACCTGCCAGGCGCAACAACCCCTCTCACTGACTGACTGACGTGTCCGTCAAAAGAAAATCAGCGCAAGATGATGCCGGATCTGTACTCGTAAATACGGAGGTACGGAGTACATGTATGTAGATACATCGGGCTGTAGCCTGTGGACCGAGCAGAGACGGCGACGGGCGACCTGCAAACAGGGAACGAATGGGGCGAACGAACGATCGAACGTCGCTAGGACCGTGGCAAGGTGCAGAACTAAGCAGAGGTACTCTGTACTTACAGTTACTGTACGGAGTACCTGTACATGTACATACTCGTCTCCATTCGGAGCGTCACTGCCAAAGGGAGTAATTATAACACTGCCGAATGGAGCGGCCGGTCGATGGAAGTATTCATCCGAGTCAACACCGCCAAGTCAAGCGAAATGACCAAGAAGTCAGTGACTCAGTCTGGGACGGGGCCAGCGCCTCCAGCGGTGTGCGCCGGCGCCGTTAGTGCCCGCGCGGAACGCCTTCCACCCGTTCTTGGTCTCGCTCCGGCTGCTGACTCAGTCGCCTGGGCCGACTCGAACTGGAAACAATGCTGGAAATAATGGCAGCGGGCAGACTGGGACGGTGACCGGTCTGCTGCCTGCTCGTCTGTCTGTCTGCATAAGTACAACCCCAACGGTTGAGGCTGGATGGGACTAATATCATAGATTAGGTAGATTAAAATTATTGGATCAGGGGAGCAGGACATTCATTACGGAGTACTCCTGATGAATCCGTAGAGTACTCCGTACGGAGTAAGCTAGTTACTCCGTAATGTCACGGCCTGCAGGCCTGCCTGGGGGCCTCCCAAAATTGGGAATTCAAGCATTGTTCCATGCTGAGTCGCTGGATACAATACTCGATCTGGACATCTGCTCCGGCAGGCTGGAAGCTACGCTCCTAGGTAATCAGGTAAATCGACAACAACCTACTTACCTACCTTGGGTGCCCACTGCCGCATTCTCCTACGGAGTAAATCTAATTTCTAAACTCTCAGGCCAGCCCCAGCGCCACCTCCGCGGCCATGATCCATCAGGACAACACGTGCATGATCATTATTATTAGTATACAGTACGAACGCTGGATCCCTCACTTACTCTACCGCATGCCAAGCCTGTTGTTTGCTGCAGCGCACAGAGAAATAATAATCTCGACTAATCAAGAGTAGTGACATGTGAAATTGGAATTCATCATCGGATTGAGCAGACTAGCTAACAAAATCCCAACTGAAGGATATATAGAATCCCAAAAACGTCAAAAAAATAAAAAAATAAAAAAAAATAGAAAAAATCAGTTAACGCCACCTATCCGGACTCCTCGCTTTCCCATGTTCGATGCAGTGTTCGTAGAACGGGGCACGTCATTACCCCAAGCTTTTCTCTCCAAATAGGAGAAACCTCAAATCAACAAAAAAAAGACTGGCTAACAATGCGACGGCGCTGTAGTAAATCACTAAAGGAAAGAAATGCCAAGAGATCCACCGACTGGTGCACTATATGCTCAATCATGAGTCCAACAATGAACGAAAAGACATGCAGAGGCCCTCTCCACAAATCTGGTCAAAAATGCACGCTAAAAACCGACGAGAGAGAGGATATCAAATAATAACAATAAAAAGAGACGGCCGTGGCGGTGACGGACATACTCGTACCGTCGACATGATGAAGATCTCAGGAAAGGTGTTTAGGCTCGGAATCGGCTGGCACGGAATGCGGTAATGTCGATCGAGACCGATGAATCGGACGCTGCATCGTCGACTTCGATGGCGGCCACTCCTGGCTCGGGGGGTTTGCCGTTCTCCGTCACATCGACGGGTTTGTCAGGGTCGACTTTGGCTGGTGGCTCTTCAGTCTTGGCCTGTTTCTGTTCCTGCTCCCGCTCCTTCTCCTTTTCTCGCTCCTGCGCTTCTTCCTGTTCCTTTTCCGCCCGGAGACGGGCAGCCTCGCTGTTGGCTACCTCCAGCAAGAGGTTGAATTTCTCCTTGACGCCTTCCAGCTCGGTTGAGCAGTCTCCGCAACGGAGAAACTGGTGAGCGGCGGTCTCGCAGAGACTCTGGGCCAACTCCAACTGCTTGTCCGCATAATCAAAGGAGCTCTCTTTCTGCTGCATGGTCCGAGTCGATCTTCCACTCAAGGGGGAGCCATTCATGGGCGTGAAGCCCTGCTTGGACTCTCTGGATGTCAGCCTGGCCGACAACATGTCCACGCCAGACTTGCGCATCATTTGAGACATCTTGCCCTTCCGAATGCTGTTTCTTGCCAACCCGATGTCCCGCACAACCTGCTCCAACTCCTTCTGGGTATGCCCGTCGTAGTGGATCACAACATTATGGCGCATGCGCACGGGCTGGGCTGCCTCAGCAGAATGGTGCGAGGCAGCGTCATCCGCGCCCTTCTTCTGTCGACTCCTGGCCGGCAGATCGCTCTTGTTGGCCTCCACAGACCCTTGGTTCTCCTTCTGGCTGGAGGCCAGCACTCCTGCGGCCTTGAGCTCGGACGTCGGTCGAATGGAGTGGACTGAACTGTTCTTCCGTCGGCGTTGTGGTCGGACATGGGCGACTTTCTTGTACTCCTCGGAGAACTCGGCGTGCATCTTGGCCGTGTGCACGGCTAGCTCAGAGACGCGCGTAATCCACGACGGCACATTGTCGCTTATATAAGTGAAGCATTGTAGCGCATCCATTGATTGCAACGCCATGGCTCTTTCTCTTCCAACACGGGCCGTTCACGGCGGAAAACGTCGAGGATCGAAGAAAATCCAAGAATCCCTCTGTCCCCCTTTCCAAACTCTGCAGAAACAAGTCAATGCGAGGAATAGTTCACCACGGAGGTGGGAGAATCGACTTGGCGAGCC